ATAGAACTTAGATTGTATTTGAAACTATGATGTAACTGAATTAGTTTTATAGCAGTCTTTGATATAAATTTGTAATCCTTTATTGTTTTGAACTATTTTATAAAACTCTATTTTGAGATCTTTTTATTTAAATGAAGATTTTATTACTCTCATTTTGTGAAATTATTACTTGAAAATTAAATTAAGGTGTTACAGTCTTCATTGAGTTGTAACCTAAAACAAATTATCAAATATAAATTATGGTATGATCTAAGAAATTTAACAATACATTATAAATTTATAATTTATACATTAATTTTCTCTTTTGTTTTGGTAAATTTGGTGTTCCCACTATTAGAGATATACATGAAAAATTTATTACCAAGTCATCTTCTTTTAGTTTCATATTTATATTGTCTAAACTTTCTTCTCAATCAGCAAATATTAAATAAAGTTATTTATCATTGTATTGTAAATATTATAAATGAAAATAATAACACTTCAATTTAATCTTTTATATTATCTTCACTACCGGCTTCAAAATTTATTTGCTTTGAAACTCTATATACCATACCTTTCAAAATAAGTACTCATTTTTATTTAAAAAATATATGAAGTGTCTATAATATTTAAAAGTTGTGATAACAACTTTAACCCTTCATTATCGTCCTAAAAAAAATTATCACATAAAAAAGTTATTTATTTTAATATATTTTATTCATATAATCAATTATTTGTATAAATGTTTCAATAAGTTAGATTTTAAAACATTTGTTTACAATTTCAAATTTATCTTTGTTCTTTATTACTGAAAATTTTTGTATGAAATATATTTTTTCTTCCTTTAATATACCTTAAACCTGTAAATAATATTTCGTCCTATTGAAGCACGTATGTAATTGTTCTATAAAAAAAATTAAAAAATTTAAAAATAAATCAAGTTAGTTAGTATAAAACTATATATAAAAGATAATATAATTATAATTTATTACAAATAATAAATTTTTTATAAGAAAAATACAAATACTAATATCTTTTCATCAATTAGTACTGTATCAGTACTAATTAACCCTTTTTTGTGATACATGTTTAGAGTATCTTACAATCGTGATATTTACACTTTTTTTTTTAATAATCTATTGTTAAATTCATACGGTCAAGGAAAGTCCATTTATTTTCATTGGAAGTTATTATTCTCTTACAAAAGTATGGAAAACATAAAAGCAAATAGTTATTTGTGATGAATATAAATTGAATCTACATATGAATATATTAATTTACATTTGTAAAAAAAAACAGATTGGTTTAAATATTTTAATTAAAATATATTATGAGTGGTATAAAAATAATTAAATATTTATAAACTATTTATTTACAAATTTTAAAATATAAACTTATATGATAAGTCAACTCCATGATATAATTTTAGATAATCTAGATTTATACTATTGCAAGTTGGATCAATTAAGAAAATAATGATAAATTTGATACAAATTAATAAGTTAAAAATAAAATTCAATATATGGATATCATTTAAAAATAATACAGTTTTATACTTACTCAAAAATTAAAATAAAATATATGAACACAATTTACTAAAACAAAATAAAAACATTAACCTTGAAAATACACATACTTATTGGATAAGTAACTCTTGACAGTTGACATGATTGCAAAAGTTTAATACAAAGAGAAAGGATGATAATATAAAGAAGGCAAAATTAGTATTTTCGTCCCTTAATTTTAGGATAAAATTTACTTTAATCTTCTAACTTTTTTTTATTTAATTTAGTTCTCAAATTTTTTTTTCCTAGTTAATTCTTCTCGTTAACTCTGTTAGATGGCCTAACAGAGATATCTTAAGTGGCGCTGAGATAACTTAACGTTGTTATGCTATATAACAGAATTAACAGAAAAGATTAATTTGGGAAAAAATAAAACTTTAAGAACTAAATTGAATCAAAAAAATTATGAGAATTTTACTCTAAAGTTAAGAGACGAAAAAACTAATTTTACCTATAAAGAACATTTTCAAAAGTTATGTAAACATGTCTAATATAAGTGGAGATGAATATAAGTGGAGATAAAGTTTTTGCTTGGTGATATATAAAAAGTCAAAAAATCAAAATAAAAAATTAATATATTGTATAGTGATTCTATATCACAATTTACTTGTCTTTTCTTTAAAAATTTAATTTAATAATATACAATATAAAATAATAATTTTGTAAATGTAGTTTTTTTAATTCAAGGTATATTTTAATATTTAAAGTACATATTTAAATATAAAACATAGTAAAATAATTAATAAAAAAATTTAAATCAATAACATTTAAATGTTGAATAAAATCTCATCATATTTTCACAAAAATATTTTTATATAATTTATTCAATATTTTTTTCCTTATTTTTAACATTTGATGTTGAATTTTGTTATTGTCATTTTTAACCTTAAATAATTCTAATAATTTTTTTTAAACACAATTCAAAGATAATAGATATAAATCAATTATAATTTCAATTCTTAAATTATACAAAATATTATAATAAATTTTAATTTAATGCAATTTTAACTTTATATATAACTTTATATATAGTATCTTCATATGTATTATAATTTAAATATTAAAATATAGATTATATTAAACTAATTAATAAATTAATTTAAATCAATACCATTCAAATTTAAATATAAATTAAAGTAAAGATATATTTTTTTAATTAAAAGGTAATTTAAGAAATTTATTAGATTTTTCTTTTTTATATTTTCAATATTTGACAATGAGTTTTTTTTTTAAAATTTTTTTATCATGTAAGTGTAGTTTTATTATTAATTCAAAGTATATTTTAAGTTTGAGGTACACGTTGAAATATAGGTTATATTAAATTAATTAATAAAATAATTTAAATTAATATCATTCAAATTTAAATATAACTTAAAATAAAGATATAATTTTTTTCAATTAAAAACTCAAAAAATTTATTAGTTTTTTATTTTCAACATTTGACAATAATTTTTTTAATAAATTTTTTATCGTGTAAGTGTAGTTTTGTTATTAATTCAAACTATATTTTAGGGTTAGACATATATATTTAAATATATAATATATTAAACTAATTAATAAAATAATTTAAATCAATACCACTCAAATTTAAATAAAAATTAAAATAAAGATTCAATTTTATTTTCAAATAAAAGGTAACTTGAGAATTTTATTAGATTTTTAAAAAAATATCTTTGTTTATTGAACACAATTTTATTTGACAAATATAATTTTATTTTTAATTAAAAGATAACTTAAAAACTTTATTAAATTTTTGTAAAATTATCTTCATTTATTAGATACAATTTTATTTGACGATAAATTTTTAAATTTTTTATATAATTTTTTTTAATATTTTTAATAAATATCATTCAGAATAGTCTTATTATTACTATTTTAAATATAATATAATCATCAATTGTAATAATTTTTTTTAAATATAATTTAAAGATAATAAGTATAAATTAAATATAATTTTAATTTATATGTTATGAAAAATATTATAATTAATTATAATAAACTTTAATTTTAAAAAATTTATAGTAAATTTGTTTATATAAAACTAATTAATAAAAGATTTAATTCAGTACCACTCAAATTTAAATATAACTTAAAATAAAATACTATTTTTTTACAATTGAAAGATAATTGGAGAACTTTATTAAATTTTTATAATTATTTTTTTTAATTGTAAGAATTTTTTTATTCAATTGAATCAATAATTTTTTTTATCAATTGACAATGATTTTTTTAAAATTTTTAAATTTTTTAAAAATTATTATTCGCAGCAACTATAAATTATAATAAAATTTCTTTAAATACAATTTAAAGATAACAAGTATGAATGAATTACAATTTTAATTATAAGTTATAAAAAATATTATGATTAATTTTAATTAGTTTTTATTTAATACAACTTACAGTGAATTCGTTTATAAATTTTGTTATAAATATATAAAATAATATATAAAATTATTATTTATATATAAAAGTGACTCTAAATATTTTAAATTTTAATAGATATAAATTCTATTATAAATATATAAAATAATGAGTATGTATCAAGAGGATGTACAAAATATAAAAGTGACTTTATACTTTCTAAATTTTAACAACCATAAATTTTATTATAAATATTTTTAAATACCGTGTTCATTTATCTTTCCTCCTTCCAAAGTGATATGTGTGCATTTCAATTTGCATTTACAAATTTGATTTTAGATAGTAGAATTGAATTTTGATGAAAAGTGAATTTGAATATATGAAATTTTCAATTCAATAAAAAAATTTCTCAAAACTTGCTTGATCTGCAAGATTCAAATGCGCAACCAAAAGTAGGCTAACAAGAACCCCATCATGCCAAGCACTAAGCTCCATAGCCATCTCTGCTTCACTCTTGATTATTAGGACCACTATAGTGTCTGCTGCACGGGACACTCAAGAATAAGGAATCTCCACCACAATCCGTGAGAACGAGAACGAGAACGAGAACGAGGATTTCGCACCATTTCTACATATAAAGCACAACTAAATTGTGTCAAGAAAATGACTGAAAAATGTGGACACAAGTTTACGGTAACATGTTCAGAAATGAGAGGCTGTCTCACAGCGGTGTTGTCAAAGACTTATTCGGGCGAAAATGCCATGATATCTTAGTCATCCAGTTCGTGTCTGACTCTGACCACAAGAAATCTGTCACTCTACCTAGCAGTGTGATGTGATGGTTTGGACTTTCGAAAGTTGGAACAATTTCATAATAACAACAAATTGCCAAATTCCAGCATCTAAGTTTCTCATTAAAATATTTCTTCTACTGTCAGCTAGTTAAGTATAGGCTTCAGCAAAATCAATACCTGTGATCCTATCATCAGTTCATTTGTTGTACTGAGAGCTAGTTATAAAGTAGCAGAAATATTTGTTAGATAAATCCCCTGAAACTTCCAAGAATTTTTTTTTATTGCAAGTAACCCTGTCCCATGTATGCTGAGAAATTGACTGTTTTCTTTAAGAAAGTGCATAAATAAGCATTTGCTTTTAATTTTACCAATAATCTCTGCAAGAGCATACACCGTCTTTAAATCTGTGAAATCGGGCTCTATCCCGCACAATGATCTCTCTCATATAAATATTTGATATGATTTTTATCACAGCATGACAATCCACACATATTCTAAGGTTTTTTATAACCTGAATTGGTGTCCCATCACTTGTACTAATTAAACCATATGCCACGGCCAACTTCTCACTGTGATAATTAAGCGCATTTTCCTTGTCCTCCTCTCCTATATCATGCAACACAAGATTAGTCTCTGCCGTGTACCCATAAGCTTTAATCCTAAACTTGATCTCATCCAACTTTGCATAAATCTCTTTGGAATTTGGGTGACTCTGATCCCCATTTACAAACTTGTGTATCCTACAATCTATTTCTGTGTAACTAAATCCTGGCACCTTCCTCACATCCCTATTTTTCATGGCCTCCCTCACCCTCCCTACATCATGCCATCTCTGTTGGGCTGCATAAACATTTGATAACAAGACAAAATCCCCACAATTGTTAGATCCCATCTCCACCAGCTTCCTTGACGCCATCTCTGCCATTTCCACATTCCCATAAGTCTTGCTAGCCCCAAGCAAACTCTGCCAGAGCACCACATCAGGCACCACAGGCATGGAGTTTACAATATCATACGCCTCTGTTAACCTTCCTGCTCGACCCAACAAATCAACCACACTCCCATAATGCTTCACATTAGGCTTCACTCCAGACCCCTTCATTATATCAAACAATCTAACTCCTTCTTCCACTAAGCCAGCATGGTTGCATGCACACAATGCACTAAGATACGATACAGCATCCGGATGCACTCCATCTAGAACCATTTGATCCAAAAGCTCAAGCGCCTTATATCCATCACCATTCATCGCAAACGCCATAATCATAATATTCCACGTGATAGGACTCTTCTTGCAACTCATGTTAGCAAAGGCCAAATAAGCTTTATCAACAAACCCACATTTGCCATACATATCAATAACCGAATTACAAACAATCACATTCGTGTCTAGCTTCTCATCCACAACATAGCCGTGAATAATCTCACCCTGTTTCAAAGCACCCAATTGCGAACAAGCAGAGAGTGCACCAAGAACAGTTACTTCATTGGGCCTCCACCCCTCTTCCTTCATTCTGTTGAATAAAGCTATAGCCTCATTGGGTCGGCTCCCTTGTGCCAACCCAGAAATCATGGCATTCCACGAAGCAATATCTCGGTTACGCATATTATCAAACACCTTCTGTGCAGCATCGAGATAGCCAGTTTTGGCATACACATCCAACAAAGTGGTGAGCAACAAGACATCAGCTTCGAACCCAAAACGCAGAATCTGAGAATGTATTTGGGTGGCTTCGGAGAAAGCCAAGGCACGCGCGCAGGCCTTGAGTGCGAAGGAACATGTCAAAGCGTCCACTTTTTGGGAACTGCGTGACATGGCGCGGTACCATGACATGGCCTGCGTCGGTTGGGAGCTCTGGGCGAGTCCTCGAAGAACTGCGTTCCAGTCGTTGGTGGAGGGGGTTTGGATTCGCCGGAAAATTTCTCCGGCAAAGGAAAGGTCGCCGGCTGGGGAAATGGCGCAGAGCTCGAGGAGCTTGGTTCGGGAAGAGTGAAATTGGAATTTACCGGTGGTTATGAGATGAGCTTGAAGCTGCTTCATGTGAATCAGAGTGTTGCATTTCTGCAACAATGAGTCCAGGTGAATTTGAGAGGCCATTCCATTTCCATCCACTATGCAGACACCTCGTCTCACTTAAAAATCTGCTGAGTAATTAAATTCATTTAACGTTATATTTTTTATTATATAAATATGTTAATTATGAAAACTCAATCAAAACTATAAAAATGTGATCTCCTTTTTGTATGTGCAGGGTTGTTAAATACAAAACAAACTCGAGGTGATAATACACAAATTTAGGAGTAATCATAAATCTTGAGGGACAGTTTATACTAGTAAACATAAACCCTGAGTGCGACTTTTCCATGTTCATTATTTGATGTTCTTATACCACTGGCTTCTTACACAGTAAATAATAGGAGAGTGAACAAATACTGAACGATTAAAGCGAACCAAATTGTTTTTACATAATGCTTAATGCTCAAGATGACAACAAATTAGAAAAGTGGTATGGTTATGCAACGAATGATGAGGTTTCTATTCAAGGTGAAGGAACTATCAATTTGAATTTATTTGTTCCTATTCAATTCAATTTGAGAAAGCAAAACACACAAGAACAATCAAGGGGCATTGCCACCAATGTCTAGCAAAAATGTGACTCAACTTCATCTCTTGCTGCTAGCTACGAGAGATGTATCTTATATCGTCACTGGCCACCATAAATGGTGATAATTGGAGACTTGTGGTGCTTCACGACCTCCCTTATTGCCCAATGTACAATTATGTTGTCAGGAGGAAGAAAAATTAATACAACAAACCAACAGTAATTCCAATGATGAATTAACAGCCAAGATTTGACCCAAATCATCTAATAACAATATCTAAAACCATTTCGCCTACTCCCGTATCTTCTGAACTCCAACCCAACGAGCATAATCCACCCACCTGTTCCAAAAGGTACAAGCAACCAATAATGAGAATTGAGAAACAATTACAAATATAGTGAATTATATTATATAAAACACATCAAGTTAACCGAGAATCTTACAATAGTGAGCCCAAGAAGGTGTTTCCAGTTCTAACAGCAAAGCATAGTACACTCAGCATAAGCCTGTGGTCATGCAGCAAAGGTTCTAGAATCCGTTGTTCAATAATTCCTGCAAGAACTTGATACCTGGTAGAAAACAGAGACATTGTATGTTAGATTCTGCTCACACATGCAAATAAGAAATTAACTATTGTTTGGATGCATTATTGTGGAAAAATTGCCCTTTTGATAGTAAAGCGCCTATACTAGAAGATAATCTGGATCAAGGAATTCATAGGGGCAAGGATCCATCATGATTATAGGACAGGAAATGCCCCCTCATTCAATTCAAGAGAGTTATTTCATGATTTCATTATAGTAGTTATTTACTTGTCATTTAAAAATATACCTTAAGTTGCTAGATACTGCCATGTAAACCCCATAGGCAACACTCGTTGATAATATTGGTACATCCTCAGCCTCAGCAGCAAAAGATTTATCAACAACTTTCCGTGCATTAATCAACGCATTTGTTACACCCGTTCCAATCTGAAAAGACAATGGAATCAGTAATCCCATTTAAGCATGTAAACAAGTCTACAATTATACACCAATCACATGATGAGATACATCTTGAGACGGTCTTCATGTTATGCCCGCATTTTAGTTCACAGGAAGAAATGACAGTGTAATGTACCTCTTTTTCAATAGACATGAAAAGCGTAATCTAATTATCAAAACAATGAATATGGTATATGAATTCAATCTTTGCAATTGAAAGAAGCATGAAAGAATAACATCGTAAATACACGCAGGCTACTGCTTTTACCCATCGACATAGCCGTTAATATTATAAAATTCCAGTTAAACAGTACTAATTCTTCTGTTTTGAATATCTTATCATCATAACAATAGCAGACAAAAACAACAGGATGGCATTTGTAAGGGCCTAGAGTTAGTCCGGTGACATAAATATGCATTTGTAAGCATATAAGATGTTAAATTACCAATGATGCACCAGTCCCAACCGCAAATAGCTTCGCTCCATTACGCTGCATAAGAGATGGAGATGTTAAAAACCTTCAGTTGTGACGTAATAGCTGCTTGAATTTCTTAGGATCCAACACATACCATTATAGCACCTATTCTCTGTATAAGGGTATACGAGGTTCCAGCCAAAGCCACCTGTTGAATGTTTACAAAATTAAACTCAATGAATGTAATATGTAAACATAATGATAATATTTATCACATCCAGAGATAAATAAAAGCAGATGTAGAATGATTAAACAAAAGTTAACCTGAAAAGCATTTTCAGGGCAGCCATAGAAGAATTTAGCTATAGCTCCAGCACTAACAGCAAGAGGTGGTTTGAGAGAAACTGTGGGAGCAGGAAGCCACACGAGCATAAAATCTGCTACAATCGCCATTACCTAGTAAAATAAAAATCAGACAACACCTAATTTGTTCCTTAAAGAAACAGGGTAACCGTAGTTTTTCAGATATTATAAGTTAACTGTTAGCAGTAAGGACGATTATTACAAAAAGGGGAACTTGAGTTTCTGGGAATGGAAGAGGCGCACAATTTGGACTCCAAACAATAAACTAAAAATATATCTTGTGACAAGACATACCACATCAGCACAAACAAAATCCAGCTCCTTAGAAAAATTTTCTTTGCGCTTCTCCAACTCCGCAGCAGTCTGAAAATCGAAGGTAATATTCATTACAAATGGATTCTACGCATCGTAAATGTTCCACTTAAATAATCAATTGCGTAAAGAAAATACTGACTGACTGAAAATAACAAAGAAAAAACCAGAAGCTTCCTACTCACTCGTAAGAATTAGGTGCTAAGAAAATTCTATTAATTTGCTTGATTTCAGGTTTAGAACATAATGCATTGTGTCAGTAACATTAGTTGTTAAATATGATTTCACTTCACCAGCCTCTGATTTAGTTCAGCAAATTGACAGTCACCAAAAAAAATACATGGGTCAAAATAATAGATTAGACTATTTTAAAAAATAAAAATAAAAAAATCTAATCACACATTTTACAACCATTCAACCTAAGAATAAAAACAAAATTTCATCATCAAGTTCAAATGCAGAAAATTAGGTGAATAGAGCAAAAGGAAATAAACCTTGGTGAAGATGCCAACACCACACTCCATGGCAACCTTAGCCAGAAACAAATCATCCGCCAGCAACCTCTCCTTAAACCCTCCGAAATTGAGCAACCATCGGAACACGGCCGATTTTTCCAGCTCGAAGAACCTCTGCACAATCGAACCGGGCACTCGCCCCGCCTGAATCGCCGCAGCTAAATCCGCGGGTAAATTCTCCGGCGCCCTCCCGGCCTGCTCAAGCACCAGCAGCGCCTCCTCTCTGTTGCGATCCCTATCCTCCGAGTCGCCGTGGCCATCGCCTCCACCTCCGCCGCCTCTCCCCCCTCCGGTTCCGTCGCCGTTGCCGGCTGCAAAAATGGTGGTGGTAGGAGAGTGAATTGGTGTGAAAAGGGGAGCATTGGAAGTGAAGAGGTTGAAAGAAGAATGTTGGGGAGGAGATAGAACGGTGAAGGTGGGTAATGGCAGAGAAGAGTGGTGGAAGTAACGGTTTTGGGTTGGGAAAGAGAAAGAGATGCTGGAGAAGGAAGGGACGGCCATAGCAATTGCAGAGTGAAGTGTAGAGAGAGAAAGAGTGTGTGTGTGACAGTTAAAAGAGGTAATAGTTAGGTAAAGGAGTGGAAAAGAGGGAAAGAAAGTGGATGACTTTAACATCGTTTACCAGACACCACCAATAGTAATCGCTCACTCTCTGTTGCGTATACACCACGCGCTTCTCCTATCCCAATTCTTTTGTTTCCCACAATAGTTAAAGAAATGGTCATAAATAACTTTTTATAATTTATTGTCTTAGTAAATTTTTATTATCCCTTTTTTTCTTCTCTTTCCTTCTATTTTCAACTTTATATTCTTAAACTTCTAAACAAAGTCTAAAGTCTTTGCATTATTGTCATTTTTAATTGTTTCTTTTTTCAATTTAAATATTTGATTCAAATCACTTTCACGATTGCGTCCTGGAGAAATAACCTAGTCAGTGAAGACAATGACACAGGTTGCACATAGATTAGAGTATAAAAATCAAAGATGCAATTAAGTTTTATTATTTTCTATGAATAATTTTTGTGAAAAACCAAAAAAAAAAATCAAATATTTTATATCTGGTACTGCATGGAAAAAGAGTGATAATGCTTTTTCTTACACAAAACATTTGTATAACCATTGCCAATATGAATTTGCGTTCAAATCAAAATTTCACAAAAAAAAAAACACTGTGGACTTGTCTTCATCGTTTTCCAAACAATAATTTGATTTCAATGAATAATCTTTGCTGATACATGCATATGTCCAAATAAGAGGACCACTTCACTCAATAAAACAGGCTTTAATTAGTGGCTAATAAGCACTAAAGGCATTTGAAAGTTACATCATATTGTGAAGATAGAATTGAAATGAGAGTCTAATCCAAGTGAAAGGAAACAAAATCTGATATGTATGGACAATATTCATTGCTCAAGTCAAGTAACCAAATCATCCCCAAGCACAGTGATGGGCCCCTGTATACCCTAAGCTCAAAAGAGTAGCATTGAGCCATAGTTTACATAAGAATGAATGTAATTTTAAAAAGTATATCGTTATACTTGAAAGTTGTATTTAAGAGGAGAGGAAAAGAAAGTAAAGATTAGAAAGAATTAAGTGATTAATTTTGTTTGAGAATTATTTAATTAAGAATAAAAGAGTTTAGAGTTTTCTAAATCTTGTAAACGTTAGTTATTTAAATTCTTTTATTTTAAAATTTTCTCTCTCTTATTCTCTGGTACAAAATTAGTATTTTAATTTTTTTTAAATAGTTTTTCAAATGATTTTTTTTAATTATAAAAAATAAAATTATTAATTTTTAGAGAAATAAATTTTTAATTTTTTAATTTTTTTAAAAAATAAAAAATTTTATAAATAAAAAATATAATAATACTATTTATATAATTAACTTTCATCTAAGCATCCAAACAAAAAAAGTCTCCTTCTTTTCCCTCTTCTCTTTCTTTCTTCAAAATTTTTCTCTTCAAAACCTCAAATTATGGGAGACAAACATTGAATAATAAAAAAAGAAGAAGCAAAACTCTCGTATAATTAGATAACAGGATGATCAATAATTATATTTTATATAAAATTATTTGAGAATGAATATAACTTTTATCCACGTAAACGAAACATGTACAGACAGCTGTATGCGTGAATGACTGTTTTCATATGAGATGGGAGAGACAAAATAGTTAAAACTAATTTTAATGTTAATTGCTCGTATATAATTATGGAGTTCAGATTTTATTCTTTCACTTTCTTATAAAAAGCTCTCTCAGTAAATATATCATATATGCGAAAATCATTTGAATTATTAAAGTGGGCCAGAGTCATAGCCCTGTGTCAAAAGCTGAACTTTGCAATCACTCGCATTGGTAAAAAAAAATATTAATAGAAAATTAATATATTAAAACATAAAAGATATTTTTTATATATTTTTTGTGAAATAAACAAAAGCTACAACGGACAGAAACACAAACTAAATGGGCACCGATCATGTTGCCATGGGTGTCAACCAGCTTTTTTTAAATTAATTTTTTATATATTTTTTAATTTTAAAAATACATTAGAAAAAAATCATATAAAGGTCAAATACAAAAACTATTTGATATTTTTTAAGCAATTAAGTTATTTAATAAAATGAATTAAACATTGGTTACTGAATATCTATTATCTTTAGAATTCTCAGTAATCATTTTGAAACAAAGTTTCTCATGGTATAATTTTACATAAACTTGATGTGTATTTTCTTAAATAACAAGCAAACTAACTAATGATCTTAAATAATCTTAACCATAAATATTATTTCTTAGTAAAATAATAGTCTAAATAAGAGTGACATTAATTCCCACATCTCACAGAATTACGTTTATAAAATGTATCATCTTTTCTCTCTAATCTTAAAGTGAATGACAACCTTTATTAGAAAAAGAAAAGAAAAAAGTGAATGACAACTAATTTTAACAACATATTATCAATTTTAATACTTTAACAGGGAAACTAATATTTTTAGCATTTATAGTATTAATTTTGAAAAATTTAATTAGAATATATATTTCATTTTTTGTAAGATTAAAAATTTATAACAAAAATTTAAAATTAGTTATTAGTAACTTTGAGTGTCATAAAAAAGAAAAATTTGACATTAAGATATTTTTTTATATTAATATAAATTAAAAGTAAATACAAAGAAAAAAAATATTTTTTAAAAATATAATTTAAATATACGATACAATTTACTTAATTTTTTAAATAAAAAATAGTGTAAAATTGTGTCAGTTTAATGTATTATAAAATCTAATAAATATAATTATTTAATTTTTATTTATTATTGTTTTGCCTTAAAAATATATATTGTACTTTTAAGTAAAAATAATTTTATTCGAACAAAGTAAAATTACTATAGACGATAACGTATAATTATAAATATTTAGTATAACTGTATTTATTTTGAATGGAATAAAATTATTATAAGCGATAATTTTTTTCTAAATATTTAATATAATTGTTTTATATTGTTTATTAAAAATAATTTTATTCAAATCAAATAAAATCATTATAGATGAAAAACTTATTTTTAATATTTAATACAACTATGTTCTCATATTAAAAATTTAAAACCATATGTTAACGACAATCGTATATAAAATATGATTGTCTAATTTTTATAAGCTTTTGTTTTGCCGTTTAAAAAAATATTTTACTTTTTATTAAAAATAATTCTATTTAAATTGAGTAAAACTATTATAAGCCATAAAATTTTTCTGTTGAGGATTTAACACGCGTATATTTAGTTGGAATCTGCTAGAATTTGTATAAACAAAAAAGCTCTTTCACTGAAATTGGAAGTTACAGACCAAATATTAAGCAGCAAGAAGACATTGCAACATTTTGCTAACAACTACAACGTATGAAATGAAATGTTTCTTAACCTGAATATAATTGTCCACGCGTCATTCGGGTGAGGATAGGGCACATCTTATCCCTTCCTTTTATATATTTGGACTGTGGATAGCAAACCTAAGCTAGGCTCTGCTTCAAGTAACTCTCCGCAACCATGGCTTCGTGTACCACCCCTTCGTCTCTTATGCTCGCACACCCTCAAGACTTATCTTCTTCTCTTCGCTCCTTCTCCTACAAGCCCCTCTCTAGAACCTTCTACCCTCTCGTTTTGAAGCCCGGTAAGTGGCTCCATCTCAGTTTCCATGGAGAACCCAAATCCAAGTCTTGTCATGCCCTTGTCGCTGCTTTGGCTACTGAGGTCGAGGTCGCCGAAACTGTGGAGGAGAAGGAGGAGGGAGAGGAGGGTGATGATGGGTCTTCCGCCACCAACACTGTCACCACCACCAAGCCTAAGAAAGGCAAGGCTGCATTGCCTCTCAAGAGGGACAGGGTATGTGCAAAATCCTTTCTTTTTTACTATCTTTTCAGTATTCGTTTTCATTCGAATTGGGGTTTTTTTTTTTTCTTTAATTTCTGGCTGTTTACTTATATATTCGTGGATGCAGAGTATTGGGTTTTTTTTCACCCCCTTTAGAATTGCAGCTAAGTGAAGGGTGGTATTTTTCTAGGCTTATGCTTCGCACCCTCTTATGTATATAATGACTACAAATGGATGTAGTAGTAAATAGAAGGCTTATCTGAATCTTCTGTGTTAGCAAATCATAATTTGCACGTGCTACTCACCTTTCATCAATTGAGATAAAGGATTTTTTGAAATATATACTTTCATCGTGTTTCGTGATATTGACATGACATCCCCTGGGAAGAGGATGATGACAAGAAGGAAAAAAAATCACATACAAGCTTCAGATGATACAATTCCTTTTATAAAAATGCATACTCTTTTACTTTTATTTGAGCCAAGTTTATATCCCAAGTGTCTTTTTGTAGAATAATTCTCTTTAACGTATTTAGTATTTACTTTCAAATATCTTCCGAAAACTCAAGGGTATGTAGTTTTTTGAGTGTCAGGGTTACGAGTGCTTTTGAGCAGTATATTCTTGATTGTTAGTGGTGGTCTTTGTCCCACCGTTCTATGCAAGCTTTTTGCTTGGTTGTTCATTATTATATTCTAACATTTGATTTGCCTCCTTTTGCATTTTGCTTGCTTTCATCAGTGTCTTCCTGCATGCTGATATACGTTTTATAAGTTCATTAATTGTTTCCTTCTATAATTTAGGTGATTGTTTGTTTGGGTCATTGAATTTTTCATATTTGATATTATGTTTTTCTCCTTTATTTAAAGGCTAATTGTTCTTTCATTGTCTTGACAGACGAGATCTAAGAGGTTCTTGGAAATTCAGCAATTGAGGGAGCGTAAGAAAGATTATGACTTGAAGACAGCAATATCTTTGGTTAAAGAAACAGCTAAAACAAAGTTTGTAGAAACAGTAGAAGCCCATTTCCGCCTCAACATTGACCCTAAGTATAATGATCAACAGTTAAGAGCGACGGTGAGTCTAATGCTCCTTGCTAGATTTTGGTATATGCAATTACATTGAAAACTTGAGCTATATTTTTTGCCATACGTGAATTAATTGTGAGTCTTTCATCCACTCTTTCTTGACAGGTAAATTTGCCAAAGGGAACTGGAAAGCCCGTTAAAGTGGCTGTTCTTACTCAAGGTGCTTATGCTTCTCTGTCATCATTCACGTCACACTTTTAGTTAATTAAAAGGTTTCTAGATCATGCTGAATATTTTTTTTTCCCTTATAAAGAGGATGCATTTGAAAGTAATTGTATCCATTATGTAAACTTTCTGCATGGATGGGCATAAGATGATCGCTTTTCTCTCCCAAATGTGGACATCGTGTTCTTCAGGTAAGGCATTGACATATATAGGAAGTTTCTGTGCCACTGCACAGGTAGAAAAGTCATATTCTGAATTCTAAATTTTTAAATGACTAGTATCGGTTAATCCTTACAAAACTTCACCCAAAGAACTAAGTGCATCTACTGTTGGTTGAGATGGATCATGGAAATACTTAATGTGTGGGTCTGTATTAGTTGCCATGGTTCTGTGTTAATCTGACTTTTATCCACTTGTGTGAATGAAAAGTTTATGAGGGAAAAGGATATCCCTTTATGATATCATATTGCTAGTGGTACACTATAGATTCTACAGGTTTGTAACTAACTAGTGTCTGCTTTTACCAGCATGCCATTTACCTTATAGTCTTAATCCTTAATGTCAATTGCTTCATCATCCATCCGTCCTTCTGTTGGCTAGAGAAGCATAGAATAAGTATATGATGAGATAATTAAAGTTATGAAGGGATGAGTTTCTTATGTAGATTAAAATAAACATTCCAAATTACATAGTAATATTCGTTGTTACAAGACATAAATAATAGCTTTTATATTTTACAAAGGAAAAACTCTTGAGAGCACACATAACCTTCGTATATAGGCTGAGGGGTGGATTGGATGTCCACTCTAAGGACTCATGGACAAAAGACCAATTAATATCCCTTCCTGCGATTTACAATGCATGCATAGCCTGGCCAGTCAACTGTATTGCCACTTATAATTCATAATCTATTTCTTGGTGTTTTAACTAGTCTAATTCAAAGTTCATTTTGATAGGTGAAAAATTCGATGAAGCAAAAAATGCAGGAGCTGATTTGGTGGGTGGAGAGGACCTGATAGAACAGATAAAAGGAGGATTCATGGAGTTTGATAAACTAATTGCTTCTCCAGATATGATGCCTAAGGTGTTGCTCTAATTATCTTTATTTTAATTTTGTGATTAGGGCCTAAGGAGACAAAAGTCATATAAGAGAAGAAAGTTGGTATGGAAAATGAATAAAACTCCTTTCATAAGTTAGAAACAACTTATTTTCTCAAATTTTAAACAAGTTAAATGAGAGAGCTTATTAAAAAAAATAGGGAATTATTGGTTAATTTTAAGTTATAAAAGAAGTTTGATTCATTTTACTGCTTAATTTTTTACTCCTATAAGTACTTATTGAGAAATTTGCCCAAACTCAGTCTAAATTTTCTTCTTCTTCTTCTTCTAGAAACCTCTATGTTCATTTAAATTAGGTTTTCTTCACTTGCTAATCATCTTTCTATAAGCGAAACTGACAATTAGATGCCATCATATGGAATACTACCCATATGTTATCACACAACTTTTAAAGAGCTTTTAATAAGATGTATTTGCTTTTTCTACATTATGTTTTAATAAATTACTAAACCTTAGTTCAAGTCTATTTGTAGCTTGGTGCTATAAGGTGCTTTTCTTACTCCTCAAAGCTACTATGATTAGACCTTTAAATATATTGTTCTTATAACCTGTCCATTAGTATGAAGAGTTCAGTTATTCAATATAGATTTTTTTTTTCCAAAGAATTGCTATATACGATGAAAACTCCCTTAATTGTCATTGTTGATTGTGTCAGGTTGCTAGCCTAGGGAAGATTCTGGGGCCAAGAGGACTGATGCCAAATCCAAAAGCTGGCACTGTAACAGCTAATATTCCTCAGGTGTATTATCCACTTTTAGTGTTTCTTTTCTTTTCCCAGTTCACTTGAAATCGGTGTCTACACATACATATTTTGCCCCTTTTATTGCAAAATGTATGAATTATAAATTCTTACATAATTGTAAGATTGAGGTGTTTTCTTCTTTATGGTGTGTTTTAGTTCTCTTGCTTATGACAATACTTCAAGTTTTTTGTTTCATAACAATTGTACACTTATTTAATCAGAAAATCTTTAACTTACCTTTACAGGCTATAGCTGAATTCAAGCAGGGAAAAGTTGAATACAGGGCTGATAAGACTGGAATAGTGCACTTACCTTTTGGAAAAGCTGATTTTCCTGAAGAGGATCTTCTAGTAAACTTGCTTGCTGCAGTAGTATGTTCTTCCCTATGCAGTCTTTCTAACTGTATTTGAGTCAATGCAAAACTTCTAACTCCTCCTCCTAATTCCACAGAAATCAGTAGAGACCAACAAACCATCGGGTGCTAAAGGTGTGTATTGGAAAAGTGCCCACATATGCTCAGCAATGGGTCCTTCAGTCAGGTTAAATATCAGGGAGATGCTTGATTACAGGCTTCCATCAGAATAGACCCTTCACCTGTAAATGCACGTTTGGATTTAGTCAACAATCTGAGGTGCCATGTTCAGATCTTGCCAAATATTTAGTCAAAGATGTTACCAAAGTTACATACAGGGATGAAAAGGGGATACTTTGATGCTTATATCTCTTCAAAATCTGCACCAAAAGTTTGCAGACTACATAGTCTTTGACCCCGGCTGAAGATTTTACCTTGTATTACTTTGTAACTAACACCGGAGATCTAATTATATTTTCTTCCGTGGGAATAAATTTTCTTTTTTACGTTTGTTCCTTTTGTGGTACTTCAACAGCTTTGTTCGTTGTACACTGATTACAATTGGAATGGCCCAGTAAACCATTAATGGGTCTCTCTGCTTTATGTTTTCTTAAAGCTAGACTCTATTTTCTATTGATACCTACTCACTTGATAGCCCTGAATATGATAACAAGAAGAAAAAGAAACCTAGTAACTCTAATTTAGGGATGATACCTGATATCTGTGGTATACTAAATGAGTTGGTGTGAGGGGAGTTAGATAATAAGTATTCATACACATATTTAAAGATAAGAGAAATGTTAGTAAATAGTAATGGTTTTTTTAATGTTTTTAATCATTAGTTAAGATGTATAAAAATTATGTGATTTTTGTTATTAATTTAATATTTTTATATTTATAATTTAAATAAAATTTAACTAATTTAATATTGTTTCCACTTATTGGATTTCAGTTTTCATCCACACTCTTAATTACAAAATTGCAGATGCTTCAAATAACATGCTTTTTTGTCCTTTTCTGGCCAAAAATGTCCAATTCTGCTTTTGTATTTTAACGATGAAAATTTCTTGCATGAGTAATGATTGCAACGGTGCAGTGAATCTTACTCTAGATGAGACTCACGAATCTTGACCAACAACACAAAGGAATTGTTTATTTGGAAAATAACAGCTGTGCACTTTTTTTACTATATGGTTTTATTAAGGAATAATAGAAAGTTATATAAATTTTACTGAATAGAAAAATGAAATTTAGATTTAGTCTTCCTAATATATATATATATATATATATATATATATATATATATATATATATATAGCTTTGTTGCAGAGTCTAAAGAGAAAGACAGTTTAAAAAATTTAAGAAGGATTTAAATTTTTTATTTATATATATTATTTATTTTTAAATACAAAAATTAAATATTTTTTAAAAAAAATAATATTTTAAAATTTCTATTTTTATTTTTTATAATTTTTAAAAAATTTCTTTAAAAATTAATATTTTTTTTTAAAAATTATTTTTTATTTTCATGTTAATCTTTTTTAAATCATGCTAAATATTTAATTAACAAATAAAAATATAAACAATAAAACTAAAGTTCTCAAAATGGAAGAACTCAAAAAAATAAAATTAATTTTGAATGGCTTAAAAATATTTTTTAATACTTTTTCTCTTATTTAATTAACTTCTAAATAAAAATTAGTAATCACTAACCTTTTTTTTTCTCTCGTCTTAAACATAAAATTCAAACAAACCTTGAGAAAATAATAAAGTATAATAATAATTGTTAATTAAAAAATTAACTAATATTAATGAAACTAACTAATAAGTAGCTGCAGTTAAATATATAGTTTTTATTATTCAAGTATTTAATTAATCATAAATGAAGTATATTTAATAATAAGAATTGATTGTCAGCAATTTTTTTATTTCTTCTAATTGGGTAGTAATTACCATAAAAATAATGTTATTTTTATTTAATTTTTATATTATTTTATACATTTATTCATCATATTACCTGTTTTATTTTATGTTGTAAGAAGAGTTGTAAAAAATATGATTAAAAATATAAAACAAAAAGTTTCATAATGTCAATAATGAAGATGTGAATGGCAATGGCATGGATAATAGTTGGTTTCTAAGTTGAGGCATAAAGGAGATGGTACAGATGACTGAAGTAGGAGCCAAAGTTGGGATGGTACGTGTATTCAGGGCGTGAGTGGATTTTTTCAATGCTTTTTGTGGCGTGCATTTGCAGGAAAAAGATTTCAATCATGTAAGTGGAGCCCAAGCAATGACATAAACTCCCTAGTCTGGTGTTAGTACATGCCACAACATATATACCCCAAGAGTTTGCATTTTATTTTAAGAGTTTTATTTTACAGTACCAACATAATTTTTTTTTTATATTTTAAGAGTTTGATTTTTGTTCTTTATAATTATAAAATCATTGGTTCTGATTCTTACTATCACTAATATCTTTTAAAAACAAAATCAACTATATTTTAAAATAATATGTTTTCTAAAATATAATTAAAGATGAAAATAGGTTAAGTTAAACTTTGCATAAATAAACCTGACTTATTTAATAATTTTGAAGTTTGAACTTGATCTATTACTCATCTTTAGTCTGAATTTTTTAAAAGTTTGATTTATCCTATTAACATTTTTAACAGCCTACTTTATATTGAAACATTCAATAGGTTAGTAAACTTTTGTATAAATAAGCTATTAAACTATTTAAATAGACATATTTTTTTAAAAATTTATAAGACTTATATTTAAATAAACTATTAAAGAATATATAATAAATGCTTTCTTCAACTCTAATAAAAAGAATTAAGATTTTTTTTAATTTAAGATTTTATTATTTTAAAATTTATTTGATTTAATATATTATTATATTATAATTTTTATATAAAATTATTTAATATATTATTATAAACTTAAAATAAGTCATTTTAATAGGTTTAATAGATTTTTTTTTAAGTTCAAATTTAACATATTTAATTAATTATATTTAAAAAAAAATTAAATTAAATCTATTAATTAAATAGGCTAGACAAGGTTAGGCCATCTCCTAACCTCTGTCGGATGACATAACTTATTTCTATCCCTAAACATAATTATTTAAAAATAATTTTTAAGTTATCTTATAAACTAAGAAAATATTTTATGTCTCTCACACCTGAAATAATTAAGAAATGATAGATGTTAATTTAAAAAATATATATAATATTATTTTAAATTTATGTATGCTATAATAAATATTTTATTTGTATCCGTTTTAAAAAATTACAAGTTAGAAAAATAAAATTATACTAAAATAAGATACAAATTTAAGAGTGAAAAACGAACTTGTAAAGTTAATAGAATTAGAAAATAAATTTGTAAATGAAGAAGATAAAAAAAAATTAAGATATAATTGTAAGAGAAAATATATGTTTAAATTTTCAACCTAATGTTCTGTGTTTGGCTATTCAATAAATAATCGTTCTTCAGACAAAATGAGTGGGGCAGGGATAAATATACGATTATAAAAATAGTAAATCCTATAGACTGTGTATGAAATCGTGTCATCTGTTAATTTATGTTCTACGAGTTTGTATGTTGTTCATTATTATATTTAACTCTTTTAAATTCAAGAAATATATAAAATAAAAATAAATTTACATATCTATTTTGTACAACTAATTTTTAAAGAAGATCCAAATTCCAAATCATTATGTAAGAGGAGTCAAATCCTTTATTATTTGTAAAAGTTGTATTTGTGTGCACTAACTCTCTCTTTCCTTAAACCGACCACTTCACAGATTCAACAAGTTTGGTGGTTTTTGTCGTGTCAATGATTCAGTTAGGCTTGAGAGTAATTAGATTGAGTTCAATTGCCGAAAAGTGGAAATTACTACATCAAAATCTCAATTCAGGTGGTTGCTTCATTTTTTCAAAAGACTACTTTTGAAAATGTATAAAAAATCATTTATATTTTAAATTTTTTATAAAGAATAAATGTTATATTTTATTAACCTTCTTCACCTTACTTATCAAATTTCATATCATAAATTATAATGTAGTTTTTGAAAGTAAAATATAAATAAAGTTATTTTTTTATCACATTGTGTATATTTTAAGATGTAATTTATATTATTTTTTTCTATAATAAATTTTTATCTATATTTTTATTAATTTTTTTCTAAATTTAGAGATTATTTTTTTATTATTTTATATAAGTTTTTTAATATTTCTATAAATATTTATTTATATATGTATAAAAACTTTTTTCAATTAAAAGTTTAATTTTAAGAGTTTAATCTTTTGAATTTATAATTATAATAAACACACCTATACTGCACAAGCTACTAAATTAGTCTTTTTAGAATACAATGGTTACAAGTTTAATATGCATAACTGGAAGGAAGTTAATGAAAAGAGTTTTAGAGGTAAAATTAATAAAATGAATTTTTCGATTTATTTAGATTGAAATAGATGAAATTAAAAAATTTAAATTTATTTTGAACTCATAAAAAATATTTAAAATAAATTGTTTTATTTTTTTAATTTTAATAGGCTTAACTCAGATCAGAATTATTAATTGAGTTGTTTATAATTTTTTATTTGAGCTTAAAATTTATATCCTGGCTAGACACAAGTTGAGTTAAGGAGAGCTATTTTTTGGACGCTTTGAAGGAAGTGTAGTGAAAACGGTGCGTTTAAACTTTTTTATACAGGAATAGGAATAGCGAATAGGAGTAGGTAACGGGGGTGCATGCCAGCTGTGACCATATCACACACTCTTGTGTTCTTCTCTCCCTCTATCGTTCTTCTCCTCTCTTCTGTTCCTCCGTGGTGCTGCTGCAGCTCCTCCTCTTCCGTTAGGGTTTCTTCTTCTCTTTCTTCTCCGATCCATATTTCGCCACCGCAACTCTTCTCCACTCTTCCACTCTTTGCTCTCCTCATATACGGTACCGTGTTTCAACCTTACCCTCTCTAACTGCTCCTTCCTTGCTAACTCCAATCTTCGATTGTTCGATTATATTTGCATTACTATTTTCTCGTGTCAAATTTGGATTTGGTGATCGCGCTGCTTATTGTTTCTTTTAAGTGTAAAGAGGAAAAATTATATGTGCGGTGCCTCTGCACAACTCACTCGTTGCTATAGTTGTTTCCTTCGGGGTAGCTGAGAAATTTTGCACACTAGTTGTTTAACACTGCAAGCTAATCTGAAGAGTTAGGTTCTGTTATTCATTTGGCTGAAATGTTGTTGACATGGAAGGAGAGGTGAGTTATGTGGGAAAATTGTTCTGCACACAGTGTGGCCAAAAATAGGAAGTTGAAGTTGAAACATCTTCGGTTGATTTGTACCTTTTCGTTTTTAATTGATATTTTATAGGTCTAGTTATCTTGTTATAGGGAATGGCAGAAACAAAATTCTAGGGTTTGAAAACCACAGTTGTGCAGTTTGGATGCAGTGTGATGCTTGTAATATAACAGTGCTTAGGTTTGGCGGTGCCTATTTTTTACCTTCATGATGTACCCTCACTATTTAGTTGTGAGGGTTGCCCTCTCCCAAATTTCCATTTTGAATTGATGCCTGCGACAGAGTAATTCCTGCTAAATTGTAGCTCGGTTTTTTTTTTTTTTTTCCTTTTTCTTTTGGACGTGAAAATCTTGAATTACAATCACATGGAATTTTCCCTGTGCAGTAGGATGTTTATGATGGCTTCGGGAAATTAAGTGCTAGTTCTGAATAGTACTTGGTTCTGATTATTCTCTTTGAATGGGCTAAACTTTTCTCTTCTATTAATCACAGATCTTGAGCTCGGAGGTTTAACCGAGTTTGCTTCATTGCTATGTGGCATTGCTTGGCTTATCACCAGCAACCACTTGGTTCTCCTGTGTAAACTCAATGGTACCAGAAGGCTAGGGAGTTATGGGCTGCTTTCAGGATGCTAATTGTTATAGGGGTAAGCACTTTTAGACTTTATGTATGCTTCCTTTTTGATGAATCATAAATTTATAGTTTAGGACCTTTAGGTTTTCATTAGCCACTCATGTGTAAACTCTTGTAGTTTTTGTCAGTCCCATTTCAGGTAGTATGGATTATCGACAAGGTATTTATACTGTATATGTATCAATAAATTTGTAGTTCTTTTTTAAAATATCCCCTAGATCAAGGCTCATTGGTACATTGTTGACTTCCATTATCTTTGAATAACACTGTTCTATGAATTGTACTCATGCTAAGCTGATTAAATTGTTGCAGGTTCTTTGTGGTGTCAGCTAATTCTATTTTTCATCTGGCTTCCTACTTTCCGAGATGTGATAGCACAAGAAACACATGCTAACCCTAGAAAAATTTCTTCTCTGGTAGAGTTAGCTAAGGAGCCTGCTTCTGGAGAGTCTGGACTCTTTGATCCCATAGAAATATCACCTGCTGTCATTCCGAAATTCCCATATCCCACTGAGTCTTTCCCACCAATGTACCCGACTTTCCCAACCAAATATGAACCAGTTTTAACTGGTAAATGCCCTGTAAACTTTTCTCATTCAGATATATCATATATCCTAGATAAAACAGCATCTGATTGTTCTGGACCTTTGGCAGCCCTTGTAGGGAATGTAATATGTTGTCCACAGTTTAGTAGCTTAATCCACATCTTCCAGGGATTCTTTAGCATGAAATCTGATAATTTGGTTTTGCCGAATGCAGTTGCTGATCATTGTTTTTCTGATATTATTAGTATTCTAGCCAGTAGAGGGGCAAATAGTACGATCCCCACACTTTGCTCCATAAAACCAGATAATTTTACAGGTGGATCATGTCATGTGAAGGACGAATCTACTTTTGAAAAAACAGTTAACACTAGTAAGTTACTTGAGGCTTGCAGCACTGTTGATCCACTTAAAGAGTGTTGTAGACCTGTTTGCCAGCATGCAATAATGGATGCTGCACTTCAGATTTCTGAAAAACAAATGATGATCAACAATAATGGAAATATGGGTGGGGAAGAAAATCACACTGATTATCTTAATGATTGTAAAGGTGTGGTTTATTCATATCTTTCCAAAAAGCTATCATTTGAGACTGCAAATACTGCATTCCGAATACTATCTGCCTGCAAAGTCAACAAAGGTACATTGTTTAACTATATCATTCTTGATGAAATATATTTTGAGTTTAGGGAGGATGTTAGTGGCCTTACCTTACCAATCGTCTCATTAATGAATTATTGGAATTGGAATGTGGGGAAACATGTACAAGTGATTCTATATGACTTATCTTACCGTAATTCAGTTTTCACAATATTTAATTATTTTCTGTGGTATTGGTTTATTGGTTCAGATTCTTGTGTCCTATGGACTTGGGTGCTTCCATTTTATATCTAGATATCCTGTTTGGTAAAGGAGAAATTGAAACCCAATGGGGAAGAGTTGGAATTCATTTTTTTTGTCATTATGGACCAAGATTGCTAGGATGTCATATATGATACATGTCCTGTAAATATATTTTTAATTGCATTATGATACCCTATATAAATTTAACTGTTTTCAGAAGCATGTAAATCAATTGAGATGGGTGGATAAACTTGGAAAAAAAAAAGTATTCATGAATAGCTTATATTTAAAATAATTGTCTTCCACCTATTGAATCATGATTGTGTTTTGTTTTGTTGTTTCAAAGTTGTAATGGAGTAAATCTTGCTATTGCAGTTTGTCCTTTGACTTTAAAGGAGCCTGCAGAAGTAATTAATGCATGTAGGAATGTAGCGGCCCCTAGCCCTTCATGTTGTAGTTCATTAAACTCGTATATTGCTGTGGTACAAAAGCAAATGTTAATTACAAATAAACAAGCTATAATATGTGCGACACTTTTTGGATCTATGTTACGTGGAGGTGGAGTAATGACAAATATTTATGAGCTTTGTGATGTTGACTTGAAAGATTTCAGCATACAAGGTATTTATTTAGCTCTATTGATATTCTTATGTTCTGCCCATGACCATTGTTTGAATTCCTCTGATCTAATTTTTCTTATGTTGTGGCTCTGAATGGCACTGGTGCGGGCAGCCTATGGACAACAAGGTTTGCTCTTTTTTCTATTCCTTTGATTTTGCTGATTGTGGTTTATTTTTAATTCAATAATCTGTTTACACATTGGTTCAACCAACACATGGTATTGGCAGGAAGGACCTGGGGATTTATGATTAATATTTGATATTTGAATATGAATGAGCATGCTAAGGAAGAATTATTTCCCATTCTTTTTGGAAGGGTGTTGAATTAGGCTGCTTGTTGAAATTGGTTTGTGGGGTTATGATAGATGCATTCTAGGTTAGTTAGAATACAATGTTGGATTATACCATAAGAATTCTTTATGGTAGGAAAAGAGAGTCTTCTTAAAGCAAGGTAAATACATTTTTTTCGGCCCAGTTAGTAAGAATGTTACTGTTGGTTTATATGCAGGATGTTTACTTCGAAGCTTGCCTGGAGATGTGATATTTGATAATTCATCAGGCTTTAGCTTTACATGTGATTTGAGCGACAACATTGCTGCACCCTGGCCTTCATCATCTTCAATTACATCTGTATCACTTTGTGCACCTGGTATGTGTTTGGACAAGTTACTTTCTCTTGATAATTGCTTACTTTTTGTCCAGGATGTCGATATTACCATTTTACAAATTACTGTTTACATATGCTTAACCCTTGACCTTTTTTGAGTTCTGCAGAGATGTCATTACCTGCTCTCCCAACTTCACAGACATTTAAAAATATGGGTGAGTACCATTTTGGTTCATATTCCATTTTGAAGTTTTTTAATAAATTAATACTATCCTGTCTGTCAGTTGACAAATTCAATATACATCTTTTTAAATGTTCTAAATTTTCTAGCATTTTGTGCACCTGAGTTGTATGTGGATACAGAAATTAAGTTTTTGTTGAAGATGTATGCAGTGCTATATTTTCATCGTGCTCAATTGTTACAGACCAAAATTTTGACATTGTGAATATGGTCTTGCAGGTTGTAATACTGGGGAAGTGGGATTGCTTGTGCTTATTTTTTCATTTTTCATCTTCAGTACACTTTTGTATTGAAGAGATTTTTTAGGGTTCAAATGTGTGTCGGGAAGGCATTTCAAAGTGTCTTTGGTGTGGCTTTTGCATGTATATTTTTGAATGGCCTCATTGTATAGAAATCCCCCCTTTTTCCCCCCTTTCACGTGTCTTCTACTTGTATGCTCTGAGCAGATCATTCCGGAGCTAGTGCTCATTTGATTTAGGATCCATAAGTGTGGTGTGAAGGGTTCGATTATTTTGTGTTGAAATGCAGACAAGTAGATGCTAGATTGGCACGTAAGGTTCTGCTGACTATGGCAGCATCAAGGACTAATTTAAACCGCTAGATGATGTTTTGATGCGATTGGTACGCCTCATTTGGTTAGACCCACAATAAGAATACTAATTTTTATGACTTAAGCATCTAAGCAGTCTTAACTCGAGATTAATTTCGAGTCTTATGGTTCGAGTACTTGAATACACTTCCATTTAATAAGACTTGCATGGAAGTTAAGAGTGTGCATCGGACGGGTTGGGGCCAAAAATCTCAATCCGAAACAGAGAATACTTAAAGCTGGACCGTTTCTGATTGCATGGTCCCTTTTTTCATTTCAGAGCATCGTTACTTTGAAACAAGATGAAATACACACAGCGCATGAGAAAAATTCCTCCACTTTTGCAAATGCAGATGGGGAGAGGGGAAAGAATCGAAGACAAAAACGTAAGAACATGTAACAACATACGATGGGCAGGGATGAAATGTGTGATCTTACAAGTTCAAAGCTTGAACTAAAATAAGGAGAAATAACACAATAGCAACAGTGTAGAGGAACAGGTGAGGCGAGATTAGAGTCTACAAGAAATGGAAATGAATGAAAACAAGGCCTCACAATTCTATTGGCTGCAGGTGGGTTGGGGCCTTGGTGGTTTACTTGCTTGGCAACACAACATCCATGAGACTTCTTTGGTGCCTCAATGGGGATGATGCGGTAGACTAGTCGCATAGAGTAAATGCGGCTTTTCTTTTTTAATGGACAATGAATAGTAAAGAGTTTGCAAAACTTAGAATGATTAAGCATAACTGAGCATATAAGTGATGTGTCAGCTACCACACATCACATGGGCACGAATGAATCTTAGTGAATATACACTACTTAATATGATGTTGTCACGTGTCATAATTAAATATTAAATATTATTATATTATAAAATTTCATAATTAAACATAATATAAAAATAAATTTTTTAAACAATCAATTAATACTAAATCAAGTTTAATGACACAAAATTTAACATAATATTGTCCTATTATTTGTAGGTAGCAAATAGAAGGAGAATAAGGAGTTTAACGTACTTCGATAGCAGTATTTGTATCTTCCTGGTCAGAATCTGAAGTTTCTACCATCAAAATTTTCAATTTTTACCGTCAAACTTCTCAATATTTACTTTTACCATCAAATTTCTCAATTTCTACCATCAAACTTCTCAATTTTAACCTTTTCTTCTTCCAAATTGACTTGCTCCTCTAAACCGATAAAATCTCACTGACTTTTATAAATTGAAAAAGCTTTACTATTTCCTTTAAACTGATAAAGTTCTACTGCCTTCTCTAATTTTTTTTTTAAAGCTACAACACTTATTAAGATATAAGCTCTTGAGACCAATTATTGGGAGCAAATAGAAGAAGAAGGAGAATATGAAAAAGAATAATATAAGAATTTAACGTGGTTTTGAGGAAAATATTTTATTTATTAGGAAATATTTAAAAAATATTACAGAGTGTTATTTATATAATAAAAATAAAATAAAAGTATCTTAAGAATAAGCAATGTGAGACTAAATAAAAATAAGTAATATGAGACTTAAATCAAACTACACAATCTAAATATTATTATGCTAATCAATATTTCATTTCAATTAACACACTAATAATATTAAATTATATTTATTCAACTAAATATAATTTAGTAAATTAATTTTTTTATATTATTTCCTATAATTATATTATGTTACTAATACAATACAATATTTAAAATATTAATTTTCTCAAGTTTATATTCACAAACTATAATAACATTAAAGTCATTTTACTCATTATACAAAACTTAGTATACTATTTTTTAATTTATTATTTTACTAATTCATTATATTACTATATTTAATATACTTATTAACTTATTTAAAAATTGTATATCATATAAAAGATATTACTATATATTTTTAAATTTTTATAAAATTAAATAAATTTAAATAGCACATTATTTATTTTTAAATATTTTTTAATTTAATTTATTTTTTCAAATAACTATTTTTAAATTTTATTTTAAATTCATATGTCAACTAATATTTTACAACTAATATAAAATATAATAGCACATTATTTATTTATTTATTCCAAAATTATTATGCTAACTAAATTTTATAATATTTTAAAATGTTATTGTAACATCATAAATATAAAATATTACTACACCTTTCTAATTTTTACTAACTTAACTATAATTTAAAAAAAAATAAACAGCATTATTTTTTCTATTTCATTTCAAAAAATAAAACTATTACAACTAGTAAAATATTTAGAGAATAAATCTGAAAATAAAATATTTTTCAAATTAAAAACAACTATGGAGTAAAATGATAATGAAAACAAATGAAGCAAACATACCTTTTATGTGTTATTCTAAAAAAACTGATTAAAATATCTTTTTTGTGGTGTTGGTCTCCTCTTCGTTCCCTGCTTCCCAAAGTCTGTCTGTCCCTGTTTCTCAATACCTCTTCTTCAAATGTTAAGAACAACAAAATTTCATTGGTCCTTCATAATGCCAGAGAAAAGAAAACCATCGTTATAGCTCAAATCATTCTATGTAACAGAAGAATGAGAGTGACATTTGTTTGAGATGAAAGACAATACATGCGTGACACATGTTATGAGTAACAATACGCTATTACGGTTTTATGTGTGACACCTATCAACGAGGAGCAACAATTCAGTTTCTATTACATGCTCAATTTTAATGTTTTGCCTTTTTAAGGAGAGTTTACATTATTTTACTTTTTTTTTTTTTAATTTATTTATTCCAATAAATCGTCGCAAAACTAAAGGACTGAAAGGAGCAGGTGATGATGTGATAGAGATTAATCAAATAGAGTAGTAGGTGCCGCACAATATACACACTTACACTACACAACCCTAATGGAATTATTTCATCCCATAATAGATAAAATATAAGACATGCTTCCGCACATACATCAAGCGTTTGTAGTCCAACGGTTAGGATAATTGCCTTCCAAGCAATAGACCCGGGTTCGACTCCCGGCAAACGCAAATCTTTTCCTTTTATTTTTAAATTAAAAATGGTATATATATATATATTGCATATTTTATTTCGTTAAACAGATATAAATTTTAAAAAATATATTTCTAAAACTGGGAAGAAAATTAGAAAACAAAAATATTTGATGAATACATGTTTTTTTTTATTGATATGATGTGTTAATATTTTAAAATTAAATTTAAAATACAATTGATTAAAATTATAATAATATTAATATTTAATTCATCTAAAAAGGAAACACATACTTGATTTTATATAGTTTATGAATATTTAAAATTAAAATTAAATAATAGTGCATTAAAAATAAAAAAATAAAATAAAATTAGGTATCCAATACAAAGAAAAGTGTTTGGGGAGATGAGTAAAAAAGTGCCTCTTAAAATGTTCTTATTTAAGGTAAAGATTAAAATTATGATATAAAAATAAATTTGTTATTAAAATAAGTAAATATAATTTTCTTAAGTTAATTTAAAATGCATCGTAATTTTACATTACTAAATAATAAATGCATATGTAATTCAATTTTTTTTTCAAACTGAATTATTAATTTTAAAAAATAATTACCCTTTTTTAATTAATTTTGATTAAAAAATGTCAAAATTAATACATTCTCAAATACCCACCAAGATTCAAGGCCACGGCACTATTGATCGTTGAAGTAGAATTCTTGCTGAGTTATATAATTAACAGAGTGTGATGACAATTACATATTTTATAGAGACGAAAACAAAATTTAATTTTATAATTCATTGTTCATTTCCTTTGGTCCCGTCCACCGAGTCCGAGGATTGAAATTGAATCCCATAATCCTTATCTCATAAGTCATAACATAAGAATACTCGAATCACACGAAAATGGCAAATGCTTTGAAGGTTGGCAGTGTCATCTCACTTTGCTCCTTAAGGAGAAGAAGCACTTCACCCCATCACTCCCTTCTTCCCAATTCCACGCGCTTTCGTTCCCAGTTCCCTTTTTTCTCCCTCTCATCATCACCAAAACCATATGGGTTTCCTTCATTTTGCACACTCTCTTCTCCTTCTTCTTCAGCAGAAGAGGCAGTGAGGGAAGCCATAGTCAATGATGGTGAAGCTGAAAACAGTATTAAGGACGCGGCAGGTTTGCTTGACATAAGGGTTGGTCGCATTCTGAGGGCATGGAAACACGATGAAGCTGATTCTCTTTACGTGGAAGAGGTCGACATTGGTGAGGCCGAACCCAGAATCATATGCAGTGGCCTTGTCAACTATATCCCTCTTCAACACCTTCAGGTTCAATTTTCATTATATGGGTTTTGCTCCATTACTTCTTTTTTGCTGAAAATCTGTGTATCACTCTTAATCCCATATTTTGTTTAGTTGTTTTGTATCCCATAATTTATAATTTACCATATATTCTCATAACCATGTTATATCATATTCATGTGTCATCTTGTATCCATGTCCGTGAAGAGTAGAAATTAGGAAAGAAGATATACTAGGAGTCTTGCGATTTATAGATGATTTTATTTTGAGTTTGACCATATTAGATTTGTGAAGGGGAATATCTTTGTCCATGGAAGTACATAATTTGAATGATTGTATCAAATTTTAAACTGCCACACATCACAGAACAATTAGTTCAGGGTATTCTCTCTCGATAATGTCTGTGGTTTCAACTTTCAAGTCCAAACTTGTAGTTATTTTGATAATTCTTAGTGTTAGATGTGGAGGAAATGTATCATCCAATCTTCAGCTGCACGTTTTCATTCTTGTAAGCTTCAATTTCTAAATTTTTTAAACTGACAGTGAACAAATAATTTACTTCAAATGTACTCTCTTTATATTGGCATCATATGTGTCTTTTTCTCTACAGTATGGCTAATAGTATGGCACATATGCAGGGCAAAAAGGTTATTGTCCTTTCCAACCTGAAGCCAAGGAATATGCGTGGTGTCAAGTCTTGCGGAATGCTGATGGCTGCTTCTGATGCAAAGCATGAGAATGTTGAACTTCTGTTTCCTCCTGAGGAAGCAACCCCTGGCGAAAGAATATGGTTTGGTACAGAAGATGAAAAGGATAATCAACCTGCTGCTGCCACTCCAAATCAGGCAATAGCTTTACTTAAATAGTAATTAATGTGGTTGCCTAGTTAAATGTGGATGTTCTAGAAGTTACACGATTTATTATTTTTTGCATAAAACTAATTCGTATTTTAAACTAGTCAGTTTTAGACATAGTTTGTGGGGGTATGATATGTTATGTGTCCAATAGAAGTTGTCCCTTGCACAAGGTATTTATTACAACTAGAGATTTAAAAAACCATAGGTATAAGGTGGGATTTTTCTTGCATAGTTGTGTGTACTATAGTAGATTCTAGAAACTAAACTTTCAAGAGTATAATGGCTGTTGTAGATAAATCTTACTACCTTGTGCTGTATAGGTGGACGTCATTACCATTTTGATTATATATGTTAAGATAAACAAACTTAATGTGTAGGGAAAAAGTTTATATATAGCTTAAATATGTTATTGTGTAGGAAGGAAGTTCAGCATCTGAACATAGAAAATTAAAGAATTGACTGTAAGTATGAATAGTCAACAGATCGGGCTTTCGAGAGCATAGGAAGATAATGATAGTTATTTTTCTTACATATCTCACATACAGTTGATATCAGGAGAAATGCTACTTGATCATTTATATTCATCTTGCCTTTTCCATCTGGCTTATTGTTCTTCTGCGACAACACACAGATACAAAAGAAAAAGATATGGGAATTGGTGCAGCCTCATCTTAAGACAGATGCTTCTTGTATTGCAATGCTAGGGATGCATGTCATGCGTACATCTGTGGGTTCAGTGGCATGCCAATCATTGCAGAATGCAAATATCTCCTGATCAGCACTGTGAATTTTTTACCCTCCACAGCCATTCAGGCACTGCCTATTCATAATTCATATGCCATTATTCTCTGCTTCCAATTTTTGGTTGATGCGCGAACACTTATATTTTTTGTACTATGAGTTCTTCTAATGGTTTTAATTTCTATTTTAGCCGTTTCACCTGGACATAATGATATCAGCATTGCATAAATATCCTGTTGGGGGAGGGGGTAAATGATTTTTCTTTAGATTCTAATATTCTAAACAAATAATTAGACTATCACTGTTTAGCACTACTAACGTAAATATCAGTTATTATTTTGGGGGCTAATTTCTTAAGGATCTGTTGGCCAATGGCCAACTTACAAGTAGTAGGATGGAGTACGGTATTTAGCTAGCTCGAAATAACCTTGACTTTAAAGGGAAGGATGACGCGATTCAATGGTTGACACATATAGCATACAACATCAGTACTAAAAGGATTGGTTTTAACTGCAGCAACCTGTCACATGCTAGATAAAAGCAACACGAGTGTATGCCAAAAAATTATTAGTAGTAACAACACGAGTATGTCAAGTCCTTGGCTTTCGTTATGGTCTGCTGTTTGCTCGAAATGTTTTACTGTTATTTAAACAAATTGTGTTGATGTGGTGAATACAACTGGATGTGGATCCACTCTAGTTTACAGGAAATATGATTTTCTATTTTTATTTTTGTTTAAGCAAATTTCAATTTGCTTATACAATTATGTGAGCCAATTGAGATTAAAAAGATATTGGCTTCCGAGACTATGAAAGAAAAGGGAAGATGGAAGGGTTGTTGGAGATAATAATGTCTTTGGAAGAACAAGTATGAGTGGCAGGACACGCTTAAGCAAATTTTCATTGCTTTGTAAATTAGTTTTGCAGAATTCGTTTAAATGAAAATAGAATTGGATAGTCATGTTCTGCATAAATTGGAGAAGATCCATATAATTATAGGACAAAGAAGATGGAGGGATTATCTTAGTTTGGTGGTAGACGATTATATAGCTTTATCAAAGGTGGTTTAGAAACTACGGTAGCATCATATCATTGATACTGTAATATACACAAATGTTTTAGAGCTTGAAAATAGACCATCAAGAATTTAAGACCATTTCCATAAATGACAATTAAAAAAAAAACATATAATCAAAATATAAGCCAGCATCCTTCCAACGTAATCAATCTAAATAGCTATAAAGAACAAAGCTACATACAGAAACCAATTATTTCCTTTAAAAAATTAATAACCTAGTAAGCTTCGTTAGTATTTATTTTGGACTACGCTGAGAAGATCCGCCCAGTGTATCCCCCAATCTGCATTTCCAGTAGCACCTAAGGCTCGAACTGAATTTGGATCAAGACTCTCCGGGCCATGATCATTCTCAGTAGCTATTCTTCTTTCATTATTTACGGAGGGCTTCTCTGCAAGTCCGTGTAGTCATAACATGGCCTTAGTCATCACAAGCTTGCCACTGAAATATAATTGTGTAGGAATATCGCATTTGTGGAGATTTGGGACCGTGTCTGACTGGGACATTGTTAATGACCCGGTCAACGCTAACAAGGGCTCTAATAATAGCGTTTGGCTCTCACTGTTTCTTTCGTTGTCCTTTCTCATTTCTTCTAGTAACTCTTTGCTGGAGTCAATACCTGTTAATTAAGCAGCATTCAGGAGTGATAAAAGTTCATATCCACAAGTGAGCTCTTTAAGTCGGATTTTTCTAGCATTTTCCCTTTAATTTTTCTTTTCTTTCCCTTTAAGTCGGATTTTTTTTTAAAATTTGAATACAGCTTTTGAAATAAGAGATGTATAAAAAAATTGAGCTAAACTTTAGAAAAGGTAAAAACAATTCACTGCTTTTTCTTTTTTTTGTAATATATGAGCGAATCATGTTAAATGAGGTTGGGTCCTTGACCTTCGAAAAACAATTAATAAAAGCAAACTTTAGATAACTTAATGCCTCACCTGCGAGGTATGCACCATGTGCGTAGCCATTGAATCTTTCACTCGTGTGCTCCCCAGTAAAGAAAATGCGACCTATTGGAGCCTGAACCGTATCCAAAAAAGACAGAAACACAATGGGACATCATTTTAGAAATGAACACAAGATTAAAAGTAACAAGATAAATTGAGGGGCACCAGAGAAAACTATAATACAACACAACCGCCTAACGCCACTAGGATAAGAGCACGGTAAGATGATATTCAAATATCAAAACCACCCAACCCTCAATGCGTCCTTTATCACGCGCTAACATTCAAAAGCTTTTAAATTACAGTTAGCTGGGAATGTAACAACCTGATACAGGTCAATCACGGCCTAATATTGCAGTAGACATGTGGCAACCATGATAACCGTTAAGGTCGCTGGAATTGTTGGACTGAACACAGAATTCTTTTTTTTTTTTTCAAAATTTTCATTCTAAATTATATTTTAACTTCAATTATTTACAAAAGCACAATAACATGACAAATATATTAGTTACAGCGTCATTTTTTAAGTATTTTTAATACTTTTACAAGAAAATGTGAAAAGAAAGGAAAAGTTTAAAATGAAAATTCGTTCAAGAAAAAAAAATTTACTTTAAGTTAAAATTGGACATAATAAGAAAGCTAAATATTTTTGCTTAAGCCAATTTTGGACAGAAGCCTTGAGTTTCAGCATTGAAATTCTCTAAGCCATTAAAAAAATAGAAGCAAATCTCACATTCGAAAAAGAAAAGAAGTACTTCGCTTAATGAATTTGAGTTATTTAAGCATGTTTGAAATCTTTAAACATGAAGCAGGAGATATAAATATGAAAAAAAGGGTAAGAAGAAAACTCTCTTCTATCACCCTTGAAGCTTGAAGTGAAAAATCTTATAAATTTCTTCCTTTTTCATTTTAGTGTAGTGAAGTTGTTCTCATAACAATAAGTAGTTAAGCTTATCTTAATGCTTGTTATGTTTTGATCACAATAGACTTGATTTATAACTTAGGGTACTCTTTAGGTTAAGATTTAATTTGGAATGAATCACCTGATGAAACATGTTGTTAAGAACATGACCTTATTTGATCAGTTGCAATAAGCACAATAATTAATGCAAGAAACTTCTATAAATATGCAAAAGATTGATATACGAGATAAAAGAAGAAAAATATGATAGCTTATTTTTTTCAACTAACAAAATATGACAACTCTATTGTTTTGGCTGATTTCCTTTTTTAATTTTTCAGTGTAAATTTTATTATGCGGGACAACTTGGATTAGAAATAGACAAGATTGGATAAGATTATGTATTTAGCTTATTTATCTTAATACATCAAATATAAAATAAGATAAAAATCTATTTTACCCTTATTCTATTTTGTTTTTATCTAACTGTTAGTATTATGTGATTAGCTATTTTATCACGTTTGGCAAGCAGACCCAAGGTTTCTCGTGACTACTGGGAATATTCACCTAATTTAGTCTAATCTAAGAGATCAAAGGGTGAAGATATCTCCTAACTGTGGCTTATATAAGAGATGTAATACTAACAGATTGAACTATGGGGCAAGGTTAATCACACACAAGAATCAAGAGGGTTGGCCTGGTTAATATAGCCAAAAAAAATAACGGAAAATTCTCCCCTATTGGCCGAGTAAGATGCTACAGTTGTGTTATAACAAGTATGGTAGATAAGTATGAGGTCTTTTGATGGATGTCCATAATTGTTTAGACCTACGGAGATATCTACGATACTTATATCTCCTTGGGTTCTCCAATCCTAAGTAAATGTAGGACTTTATTTGCACATCAATAAAAAAACAGAACACGTTCCGAAGGAAACAGTAACAGTTACAATGTGTACTTAAGTACATGGATATTTAAGATGATAAACAAACCTTAATATCACCAACAACTTGGAAATTAGAGATAATGGGATAGTTGCTGTAGCTGCCACGTTGGAACCTGTTATTCCACCATCGGGGAACGAGTATATCAATGGCATCAGGTATGTTGGGTCCAAACATATCCCTGAGCACCTCCATAGCTTCTCTTGAGGTGTCTTCATCCAATTGAGCTTCCACACGTTTTGATTCTCCATTTGTCAATGTCACAACCAAGATATTACAGCCAGGGTATGCATTATCCATGTGCTGGTGACAACGCAGAAGATAGCTCAGAAAATATTTTGATAATTAAGAGAATAAACAACAAATCACAAAGATTTATTGCAAAACAATCGGTCCAATTATTTTCAAAGTTATTGTAGTACATATATCCATAGTGCTTAATTTTGACAAGAATGGAAATAGATCCTGTAATGAAATTCTATAATGCCTACGGAGGTCAGATTTTTTTCTCCCATCGTAAAATTCATATTTTTATTAAAATACTATATCTTTGAAATATAGTACATTTCATGCCATTTTATACGAAATGGAAATCAACCATGGCTAAAAAATGGTAAGTAGTTCCCATTACGAAACTTGTACAGATAAGTCCAAAACGAAACCAAACATTACATACATCTTAGAAGGCCAATATATCACTTAACAGTAAGGAGAAAAAAATATTATCATATCCATGTTATCCCTATCAAAAGATAAGATGATTTAAAATTATTTAATTGAAAAAACCTGTGTAAATAAAGGGATGGAATTAAGAAGCAGGAACACAATAAACTATCTCTGCGGATCCAACAAAGAAGTTGTTTTTGTATTATGAATTATAACATTTGGCTTCAGTATATGGTAAAACCAGAGAAGAGGAACAGAAAAATAATAATGAAAATTAAATGCAAATAAATTCATGAAGTTCACTAGTTAATAATGTTAGACCTGAACTAAATGGTAAAAGAGTTTAAATTTATCGAACAATGAGTGCATTTGGATTTCTGCACAAATTTTAATTTCATACCCATAAGGATTGATCTTTACACCGGTACAACTTAGACATAGTTGTTATATTACAAATTACAAATATTTAAAAATTGAATGGTGTGTTTGGCACAATAAGGGTATAGAAACAAAATCTAGAGGTATGTATTCTTAAGAGCAGTTAAAAAATATTATTCATGTTATTTGGTTAAAATTAAAGATAAACTTCATGCTCAATTAATATATAGAAATTAAGATGAGGCATTTGATCACATTAAATAGCATATAAACTACAATTGATTAACAACATTTTATATCCTCTTTATGCCAATCATTCTCTTTAATTTATAAATCATCTGATCGCAAGATATATACGTTAACCTTGGGCCCCTATGTTAGTTAAGAGGATAGTAATTTCACGTCAAATAAATTTCACACAAAAGCAACTTTCCCTTATCTTGTGTGCTGGAAAGAATTGAGTATTTTAACTGTCATGAGCTTTCATAATTCATATTATTTCGCACAGAACTTGGTGTACGATCCGTGCAATGCAACATGCAACTGATGTATGGTAAACTCGTCAATTTCAGAGAATTTTATTCCTTGATCAAGTTACTGAAAAGCACAAAATAGCTTTAGGATGAGAAACAAAATAGACAGAAATAGAATGCAAAAAAAAAAACAACGTAGTATAGAATACATTCTAGCATAAAGAAAACTTTCAAACAAACCTGCCAAAATGTGTAGTAGCCTCTCCGATCATGAGCATATATGAAGAATTCCTTTTCGGGTTCACTTGGCCAGAACTTATATGGAAACTTGAGAAAAATTTTGGTGTACACCGTTATATCGCATTTCTGTATGGCTTCCACTTTCCATTTCTGTATTAAATTTATCGTGGACATACTGAATCAGACAAGTATATTGTTTAGCAAAATTAACCAAATATTACAACATCATTGAAGGGAAATTTAAATGACTATTCTCGTGTGGTTTCAGGAATCAAACATTACTCACAATGTCCATATATTTTATTAGTATATTTAAACGACATCATGCGTTGGTCCTTTCAAGCACAGTTTGGTCAGCACATTCCATGTTCATATATGCGTCGTGTTCAATACTTGGCTGGCTTAATTTCCAAGTATTATGAGTTCTCTCTATTTTTTTTAAGTAGTATTATGACTCCTCAACTATAACTAATCATAAGTTTCTATCAAAGCACAGATATGGTAAACTGAGAGGTTGTAATATTATACAGAGAGTTAGGCTTATTTGTGGATCCCTATGGGGTAAAGTTATGAAGGACGATTGCAAAACTCAGGTTCTAATCATAGTAGTCAATAGTATCGCGGAAGGCAGTTGAGTGCTGCTATTCCATCGTCGCGTTGTGTTTCAGTGTAGCAGTCATTGCGTTGCGAATCATGGCTCTACGGCTGCTATTTCAAAGGGTAAGTTTGTCCTCCATTTCAGAAATTGAAATGCTTTGTAAGGACGTCAATCTTGAAATTTCGTCCCTCTTTTATACTTCTGAAAGTTGGAATGCTTCTCCCTTTCGAAACCTACCTACATCTCTTTTCTCTTGCTTCGTCCTCTATCTCTCCGGTGTCACCTTTTGGTGCAATTCAACATCTCCAGCCAAGTTTTGATCGTCTTTTTCATCTCTAGCGAAACCGAATTATTTCTAACGTGAATAGAGACATTTTCCGGCTGATTGTCTTCTTTATCTCCAATGTAACTCTAGCTATTTTCAACAAGTTGTAGACACTTTTTAATGATAGTGAGACATTTTCTATTATAGCTTTTTCTGGTGATTGGACATTCTTTGATCTATTTTTTTTCTTTATCTTCCAGTGACACCATTTCATACAACCACAATAAAACCATCTATGTGGTATTTAGGAGCACCATACAGAGAGCCTTAAGAGAAGTGGGTAAAGTTGGCTGATAAAATGTTTGGGGAAAGATTTTTTTTTAAAATTACAAAGGTCCCTGCCAGACTGCAGGAAAATAAACTATGCATTTCTAAGGAGAAACACACCTTGAAGATATGGCATGGACATATCTTTCAACTAAAATCAAAGAACTCTAAATTTCTACATCTGACGATCCGTGGACCTGTGAAAAGATTTAAGTCTTAAAAACTTGTTAAAGGAATTACTCTTCGACACATTTTTATGAAGACTAACAAGGAGTCTCATTTTTATGTCAAAAAGGATGTCACATTTTGAGGAGTTTTTAGAAAAGCTGCAAGTTTTTGCGAAAAAATAAGAAATATTTCAAGGAATTTTGAAGGGTAATAAGATGAGCCTTAATTTTTGTCGAAAAGAGGGTTGCATTTTGAGGAATTTTGACGATTTTTGAGTCTTAGATTGAAAACATCTAGAACTAGTCAAAAAAGAGTCTCTCACGGATTTTTCATAAAACTTGTCAAAATAAAAATTGACAAGGGAATTATTTTAAATCCAAGAGACAGGGTATAAGTCACGAATTTTTCTTAAAACTAGCTGAAATAGAAATTAACAAGGAAAATTATTTTAAGTCCAGAAGACAAGGTGGAACTCACGGATTTTTCTTAAAACTTTTCAAAACATAAATTGAGAAGGGAATTATTCTAAACTCGAGAGACAGAGTGGTGCTTAAAAAGTGAAGAAACATATTGAAAGAATTATAAGGTTTGAAGCGACTATCAAAGTAGTAATTACTGACAGTTACCACTAGTTGAAGGTCAGAGATACGAAGAATCAATCATAGGCGACAACGTTTATAGAAAAGACACGATCATGAGTGGTTATGGATAATGAGTGGCAACGGCTGAAGACAAGTATGTGCAGAAGGTAGTTATCAAGAGATTAACGAGAGCGGTTGAGATGCATTTGCCTATAAATAGTACCAAACTTTACATAACAGAGGATGACTTTTTGCACCAGACACCAACACCCAATATTCTCTGCATGCTGAAATTTTGTATTAAGCCAGACACCAGCTACCAAGAGAGTCATAGTTGTTCACCACGAGAGTTGCACACTACATTTCTATAATTTGTTTCCAGTTTATTGTTACAATTATGTTTCTGCAATTCAATTCACTTTCAATCTATTTCTGTAATTTTTACGTTCAATGTAATCTTGCTTCATCATTCTTCCACTATTTCTGCTTAGTACTTTGCTTGACGACGTTAATTTCATTGTTACCTAAAAACGCACTTAAAAAAACCCAGAAAAGACTTAAAATTTAGTCACATGTTGTTCTTGAATTTATTTGTTTACTAGTTACAATTTTCACCATAAACAAAAAACCATAGTAAAAATTACAGTTAACACAGATCCTTCTCCATTGGCTACCATGGAACTGGTGTCAATTGTTGAGACAATTGATTATAAGAGAAAACCTGCCAAACAATAGTGGCCGGTCAGGTCAAGTCATAGATAACTGTACATGTGAATATACCATTTGTGCCATCCTTGCATAGGCAAAGTACTGTGTTTGATAGCCTGTAACCAAGCCCTAAAGGACTAGTGTTTGATCAGTTGCAACTTGCCAAGCCCAAGGGTTAGTGAAGGGTGACTGAAGTGAGACTGGGAAGAGAGAAACTGAACAGGTGGAAAGAACTTATGAAAATAAGAGTGAACAAGGAATACTAATGCATTTGCACAACTTCCTCAAAGTTGCGAAATATAGAGAGGCAAAGTGCTATCACCAAAAATTACTTGTCATCCGAGGATCATCAACTAAATAGGTTCAACTAATGATAATCTACAATGAAATGACTATATTAAGTACCAGTTGAGACATAATAGCTACTTTGACTACTAGTTGAGGATGGTAAATGAAAAAAAGAAATCAACTAAAGTGATAGAGTAGAGCGACTAACACCTAAACTTAACGACTAACTGACGTGACACTTCAAAATTTTAGATATTATTCCAAACTAGTTGGTTGTTTGGGAAGTAAAAACGTGATTACTAACTATCCCTTTAAAGATAAGCACAAAATTCAAACTCATGGAGGATAGGATGACAACTGCCCCTTATGTTTTAGGGATAAGAGGCTTTGGAGTTATTTAAAGAACTTTGACATGCTTTGAAACTTTATACAGCACATTTTTCACCCACTTTAGAAGTTTTAACACGATAAAAATATGAGGAGTTAACATGTATCTAACTTGAAACATCACTCGTTGGATCTGCAGATCACTTAGCATTTAGTTGAGATATGAGTTTCTATCTATGTTTTGCTAGAATAATATCCAAGATAGCACAATGAACATGCATATTGCACACTCAATTAACATACTCAAAGTAATTTCAACCATTGATGAGAAAAGTTAGTCAAACATAGTTACTTGGCGCCAAAAACCACTAACAAAGTAATTTAGCACTTTATGCATGTAAGGTAGTGGGTTAGGAACATGAGTAGTGATTTTTTAGGTTAAATAACAATTTTGTACATATTATATAAGTTGCATTTGTACATGTTATAAAAGGAACTTCCAAACAATCAATCAATTAAACATATTATAACATATTTATTTATACTTTTCATTTATGTTCTTGTATTTTACTTTTCTTCACAAATATTTCTTTTATAAGGCTTTACATTTATTTACCATTTTTCACCTTTGCATTAGCCAACCAATTGCAATATTTACTTTCAATTGTACTTAATTAAGAACTTTCTTAAGTATCTTAAGAACTCAGGGTCAAAAGACAGATTCCTTCCTTTAGCACAATCGTTAGTATTTTTAAAGGAATTATTTGTATTTAGTCATTAGTTAATCTATATTAATTGATATAATTGAATACATAACTCTTTCTAAAACTTATTTGAGCAATGAACAATTCTTTGCCATGAACAAGACCATGGGACCATAACCTAAATAGAATGGAAGTAAACCCTAAAATTACATGTTTTTATTAAGGGGTTGGCCCCAAGTTAATTAATGGCTAATATAATGGCCTTGATTCTAAAATCAATGCCTTCAAAAAGATCAGTGGATAAGTTCGAATGTCTGATATAGGACTTTGTAGATGAGTCATGCTTAGTTGAACATTTAAATTTTGTTATTTCTATTATTCCTGAATAAGTCGATTAGTTTCTTAATTAGAAGGTTGTTAGTAATTGCTAGCTATAAATAGTAGATGCATTCCAGAATTCTGTTACATTCTTGATCCATTGTAAAATTTTATTTCCCTCTCTAATTCAATAAGATTTTCATATTCTATTCTCTCATTGGGGTCCCTAGTTTTTCCAATTCTTCAAATTACTCCTCCTAGAATTATCTACATTAGTGGCTTGGCACCTTTCAGCGACATTCATGGCGGAAGCAACAAGAACTCAGGCAGCATTGTGTGAACAAGAACAACAGATAGAAAAATGAGTAGTAGCATGATTGGAAGCAAGATTTATGGAGATTACGATAACCTTAAGGCAAATCATGGATTCGTTGATGGATGAACGAATTCAATAATGTCTCAAGAAGCATGTAACAAGATTAGATTCGCTAATAGTTGGAGCAATTCCATGGTATGAATGTACTTCTTCCACTTATTCTTGTGGCACAAGGTTAGCGCGAATTAATTTTTCCCGTTTTAATGGTGATTCGGCGAAACAATGAATTTATCAATGTGAAACATATTTTGCTATTAATGGAACACCTGAGGATGTTAAAACAAAATTAGCAGTAATTCATTTTGAAGGAAAAGTATTACAATGACATACCTCTTTGGTGAAAACTCTCCATGTTAATAGTTTACCTTCTTGGTTGAAATTTACAAAAATTTTAATTGAAAGATTGGGAGAAGTTTGTGATGATCCTATGACAGATCTTATGAAACTTAGGTAGAAAGGAACTATTGTTGATTACCACAAACAATTTGATACAATTGTCTCTAAATTGGATTTATTTGAAGAATATATGCTTAACTGTTTTTTGGAGGATTAAAACAAGATATTCAAATGATTGTTAGAATGTTTCTACCAACAAATGTGAGGAAAGCTTTTCAATTAGCAAACTTATATGACTCTGCTGCAGAAACTGGTTATACACTTAAAACCTTCTTAAAATTTCCTAAAAACAATACTATGTCTAAGCCTATTTTGTCAAACATTCCAACTAAACCATTAGAAACTCAACATGTACCTACCAAAAACCAAACACAAATCGATACACACGCCTATAGGAACCTTACACCTGCTTTTATGAGTGAGAGAAGAGCCTAGGGTCTTTGTTACTTTTGTGATGAACCTATTACCCTTGCTCATGCGTTAACACATAAAAAACTGCAAATTCATGTATTGCAGGTAAATGATCATGAGATGTCAGGAGGGGATGAAGAAAAATTAATTCAAGAAGAAAGTGTTGAAAGGATAAATTCTGTAGATCCTCAAATATTAGTAAATACACTTACGGGTATAGTCAATTTTAAAACAATGAGTCACAGAGTACTTTAAAAAAAAGCCATTACATATTCTCATTAATAGTAGTAGTACTAATAATTTCTTAGATGTGAATATAGTTAAGAAAATGGAATGCTTCATTGAAGAAATTTCACCAATGAGTGTAGCAGTAGCAAATGGAGCAAAGGTTAGTATAGCCTCTGTGGTGAGACAATTTTCTTGGTCTAATACAAGGTTCAACATTCAATTTTGATATGTTATTGATTCTCTTAGGATGGTGTGATCTAGTGTTGGAATAGAATGGTTAGTCACTTTGGGGATATCACTTGAAACTTTGATAAATTGACAATGCAGTTTTTGTTCACGGAAAAAAGTTTGTATTAAAAGGTGCTTCAAATGATAGGATTAAGACTGTGAGAAGAAAGCATTTGGTAAAACAATTGCATTTGAAGTTCATTTGTTCATGCTTTAGTTGTGTGATCAGAATGATGGTTTATTGTTACAATCCTTAACCACTCATGCTTCTTTAGGTGAAGGAAATGTTTTTATTGAAAACTTACTATTACAATTTGAAGATGCTTTTCAAGAACTAGTCAGTTTGCCACCTAAGAGGGAAGATCATGATCATGAAATTCCTTTGGTTCAAGATGCCAATCCAATAAATAAAAGACGTTACAGATATGCAAAACAGCAAAAAGATATAATTGATAAGTTGGTGTAGGAGTATCTCAAGAGTGGAATTATTCAAAACAGCAACATCCCTTATGCTAGCCTAGTGGTTTTAGTGGGAAAGAAGGATGGTTCTTGGAAATTGTGTCAACTATAGAGAACTTAATAAGCAAACTGTGAAAGACAAATTTTTTATTCCTCTAGTGAATGATCTTTTAGATGAGTTTCATGGGTCAAGTATATTCTCTAAGATTGTTTTAAGGGCTAGTTACAATCAAGTAAGGATAGATGAGGCTGATGTGCACAAAATAACCTTTAAAACTCATGTTGGCTACTTTGAATATTTGGTAATGTCCTTTGAGTTAACTAATGCCCCTGCCACATTTTAAGGGCTAATGAATGATGTTTTTAAGAAATTTTTGAAAATTTTTTTACTTGTATTTTTTGATCATATATTGATCTATAGCAGTAGTTTGGAGGATCATTTATATCATCTACAACTAGTTTTGATGACTATGTGATCTCATTCCTTGTTTTCTAAAAGAATCAAAGTGCTATTTTGGAGTGGAAAGTGTAGAATGCTTGGGTCACTTGATTTCAAAGGAAGGGGTTGCCACACATCCTACTAAAATTATGGCTGTGCAGAATTGGCCAATGCCAAAGACACTTAAGCAATTGAGAGAGTTTCTTGGGTTAACTTGATATTATAGAAGATTTGTCAAAGAGTATGAAAGTATTGTTAGGCCTCTATCTAATATCCTAAAGAAAAATAATTTTTGTTAGTTAGTAAAAACTAAGACCATCTTTCAGGCACTTAAAGACCACTTGGTTAGAACACCAATGTTAGCTTTACCTGATTTTTCGAAGGAGTTTATGGTAGAAGTAGATGCCTCGAATACATGTATTGGTGCTGTTCTCATACGGAAATATCATCCTATTACTTTTATTAGTAGAGTGTTAAACTTACAACAATAGTCATTTTCTACTCTTGAAAAAAAATTATTAATAGTGATACTTACTGTGTAGAAGTGGAAGCATTACCCGCTTAATTTTAAATTAAAAAGTTATTAAAAGTTGTCAGTGATTATTAGCTATAAATAATAATTACATTCTAGAATTCTGATACATTGTTGATCAATTAGAAAATTATGTAATTCTCTCTTTAATTTAATAAGACTTTTGAATCCTATTCTCTCGTGAAAGTTTCCTAATTCTTCGAATTCTTTGAGTTATTCTTTTTTCTATAATTTTCTACATCAATGTCCACATATTCACGATCAGCATATTAATTCCCCATCATTTGCATGGGAATGCTTATCTATACGGGGCAGAAAGAAAAAGATAAAGGTATACGAAAGCCATACTGGTAAGGGTGGATTGAAGGCAATGAGGTCGCTTTGGAGAACGCCAATGCTAACAGACAGAATTACGTAATTAGCTTCGTAAGAGCAACCATCCTCTGTTATCACCGTAACACCACTTTTCGAATGCTGTAATTCCCGGACGACCTGCACAACATCCAAGATAAAAGATTACATATTAACATTATTAACAGTTTTGTTAGAGTGGTTTAGGCAAACGGTAACGAGTGTTTTCAGCTCAGTGACTAAAAATTAAAAGTGATTTGTTTACTTAAAAATATAAAATTTAATATTATTAGTATATTGAATGTTATGATTTTTATAATTTTAAAATTTATTATATAATATCTTTAAGATATTTATTAACATGACTCAATAGATTTTATTAAAAAAGAAAAAGAAAATGAATGATGTTTTTATATATTTTTGACAAAATTGAGATTTTTATTTTTAAAATACTAACCTATTACTGAGGATGGATATGGTAATTTTTTTAAAAAATATTTATCATCTTAAAAATATATAAAATATTAAAATAATTTTTTAAAAATAATTAAATTCAGTCCAAAAGATCAAAGTTAATAAAATTATTCTTTTTGTTTTTAAATTTTCTTTATTTCATTTTATTTGTCTACATTTAAAGTAGCACATGAATTAAGAAATATAATTAATATATTTATGTTAAATCTGTTTTAACTTCATAATATAATTTTTATTATTATTTCTTTTTTTTTAATTTTAATTTGATAAAAAATTAAAATTTTCATGTAAATGTTGATAAAAAAAACCCAAAATATCTTTAACAGTTAACATCAGTGAACTGATGCTGACAAAATTAGTTTATATAAATTATTATATAAAAATTACTTCAGAGAAAATAAACATCCCCATCCTAAAAATATCAAACGCAGTAAAAAATAAATAACAATGTAAGTAATAGAAGGTTCTTATTCATATAAAAGAGGAGTATATATATATATATATGTTTTTAATTATTACATGATTAGATATTTTTAATATAATACTTTTTAAAAAATTTCTATAATTAATATGTAAGCACACTTGTTATTACAAGTAAAATGAGGTCAAAACAGTAAAATTGGATTAAGCTCCGTTAGTTTTTTTATCTTTAAGTTTTAGTTTATTCATGTTAATTTTGTTAATTGTTAGTTTCAATGGAAGGAGGGCACCCTCAAAAGTTGTTAACGAAATTTTTAATAAAAAAACATGTTAAATTATTTTGGGCTATGCCTTTAGTCTTAACTATACATTTAAATAGAAATACACAGGTACGCATGTATATATGTAAAATGTTAATTAAAAAGTTTATATAAAATATTAACTCAATTTAAAAAAAAACATTTTTAAGTATTTATTCAAAGTTCACACAAACACAACACAGAGACATTTACGTGCCTCGATCCCCATGTTATAATTCAAGGATGAAATGACATATCGCCTAATGGGTCAATTCAAGTGTTCACCTATTCCAGGTGAAACGATAACAGAAATTAGAAACAGGGACCTACTAATTTATGGGATGTAAAAGGCCCCTTAAAGATTGACAGGGAAGAGTGAACTTCTGCCGGTAAACAGGGGATCCGGGATCCACTTAGTCCGCGGAGTAACCGCAGGTCCTGTTTAAAGCATCTTATCCAACCTATTATTTCAATTATTTTAAATTATGCTCCGTAACTCACTGCATGTAGAGAAAGATTCTGAAGCTATTTTTTTTGTTTAAGCAGATTTGGCCCTCTTTAGTTTGCTACAATTCTTCTTAATTTCTAGACTTTGGAATCAATTCAGAGATTATAAATTCCACCTCAACGAACAAAGAAAGCATTTACAGCATTAATTATTTTTCTTTCGACCTTTTCCCGTCTTCATTTTTGGAGAGAGCGCCTCCCATTAAGCCTCACCACTCCTCTAACTTCACCCACTCTATCATCTACTTTGTCAACTTCTGTCCTAAATTTGGTTTTATCTTCTTCCACCTCCTCCTCTGCCTCAGCACCTACGATATTGGCACCGTCTACTTCTAGTGCCTCTGCGACTGTGTCATGAATGACTTCCACAATGATCCCCTACTTCTACTCAAGGTCATGGATAAGAAAGTCGCGTGTCGATTTGCTTAAGTAAAAATAGTTTTCAATCTGAGTCGTTGAGATAATTGAACGGACGAGATATTTTAGATAAAACTCTGAAGTTGCCGCGCAAACTGCGGGAATCCAGACCCGTAAATGGGATAATGAAAAGGTTTCGACTCGTGGGACTGGGCATTGGCACATTGCCGTAACCCTGGAAAGTTTACAACCATCGTCAAAGACACCCGAGGTCAGTCACGCCATCTACGAGTCTGGCTAATAGATTATATAAGATTTTTGTTAATTAAAGATATTAGTTAAATACTTAATAAATAAATTTTTTTATTAAAGGTTATAATAAGAATATATGAATAATAATTTTAATTAAAAATATTTTTTTATCGATTAATCAATACTTTGAGAGTACTACTATTTTATAAGAGAAAAAAATGTTAATAAATGTTTTATAACAACCTCTTTGTCAGTAAGTAACGAAGGAAAATTCCATACCCTATAGAAATAACGTTATTATGAATCAAATCTTATACGTTTAAGTTTAATTATTTAAATCTTTCAAATTTTTTTTTAAATAGTGAAGGAACAATTGAAAGTATTTCAATAAAAATTTATTTAAATTACAATAATACTTTTATAATTTTTATATACTTCTTTTAGTCTATTCCAATAAAATTATTAATAAAGTTCATCATTAAATTTATTTAACAAAAGCAAATGCTAACAAGTGTTCTAAGAGTATTAAGTAAAAAATTTAAAATATTCTTTTAAAAAATTATTATACATATTCTAAAATTTTCTCATAATTTTTAATGCAATCAAATATAATAAATATTGTTTTATTTTTAAATCAGTACTTTATACTGATTACGCGATTCTTCAATAAATTTCTTGAAAATCTGTGACAATGTTAATTGTTGTGTCACTAAATTTTGATAAATAACTATTTAATTATATTATTTACTCATATGTACTTTAAATTACATTAACGTTTTGTAAAGTAATTCTCAAGTAAAATAAATTTGAAAATTTTGTTAGAACTTTCCAACTTTGCTTTCTTATCTTCCACCATGATTAGTTGTTCAACATTTATAGTAACTTTTGTACAAAAATATATTAAGATTGAATATCATTACTATTTTTTTTTTATAAGAAACCACTAATATACCTTTTTTTTCAATACATTCTTCAATAAGTTTTCTCGTAATTAAATGTTTTTCTAAAACTAAAATAATATTAATAAATAATTTATTTTTTAAAGAATAAATAATCACAAGTAATTTAAAAATATAATTAAAAAAAAAAGTATAACTAACATTAGTTATACATGTGTTATACATGTTTGTGGACAGTAACACATAATTTGTTATCATAAAGCTTAACTTTTAATATTCAATAAAAATATACTGATTTTTTTAGCTTGAAAGCGGAAATGTGTTGCCATCACTTAAATAAAAACAAAATATATAAAATGATTTGAATCTACTACAAGCCTCCACACTTAAATACACTTTTAGTCCCTTTTCTTTTAGATTAAAATACTCATTTCATTAAAATATTCTCCTACATTATATATTAAATATGCAGCTCCATAGATTTAGTATTTTTATTTAAAAATTACAAAATTTATAAAATAATATTGTAGTAGTATAATTAATCTGTCCTAAAATAAAACAATTCAATAATTTAAAAAATAATTTTATTATTTAAATTATAAAAAATCATAGTCCATAATTAATATTATAATTATTAATTTTAATATTTTTTATAAACACATAAGCCCTTAAAAAAAACTATTATCATCACTTTAAATATGAAATATGCAACGTACCTAAACTTAATTATTTAAATCTAAAGTTTTAGTTTTTAAAATTAATAATCATCAATCATTTTAATTTTTGTATATTAAAATTTAATAATTAAACAATAATTTTCACATCAAATGATATGTGAAATAATATTATTTAAAATTTTTTTATAATAAATTATTTTAGTTTTTAATTTTTAATATTTTTAAACTATTTCTTCTTTTTTATTCTTTCATAGTATATTTTTCTCTAACCCTCTCCTTCTTTTCAAACTACGGTAAATTATTCTTTTATCATTAATCATGTTATTTTTGGTAAATATGCAAATGACTATCTTCCTCCTTCACCTTCAAACTTTCTATAATGAATTATATTTCCGTTATCAATCTTTTTTTCATTATCTTCACTTCTTCTAACCATTGCAAAACTATCCTTTTTTTTTTAGTCGACATCATTATCATTTAGCGAAAACACTACCGACGTTGTTCCTCCATCATCTTAAGCCTTACATCACGAGTCACTTTGTCAATTTTAACACTTTTTCTACCATTTCTTCCATTTTCAATCACCACTCCTATTGTTGACATCATTATTATTTGATTTAAATATTGTTAACTTTTTTCCTCCTTCACTCTTAAGTATTTATTTGGCATAACTATTCAGAGGTGAATGTTATTGTTGTGGTGGATAAAGAAGAAGATAAACTAGAAAAGAAGAGGTATCTTGATACTATTTTAAAATATCAAAAGTTAAAAATAAAAATAAACTATTTTAAAAAATTATAAAACATTATTTTGTATGTATTTTATGAGATAAACTATATTTTTATTAGTTAATTTTAATATTGTTTAATAACAAAAAATAAATTAATTAACTATTATCAATTTTAGATATTAACATTTAAGTTTAACTTGAAAATATTGATTTGAAAAATATCTAAAATGTTGTTTACACGTTCAGAAACAGTACGGCGGGAGTTGACCCCAGTTCATATATAAGGCAAGAAGGACGAGGGAGAAATTACGCCAAACATGTCATAAACAAACAAAAGTCAACAATTTTGAAAATTCTTTGTCGGAGTTCCAAAAGTGCGTCAAACGAGCATGAGAACCAGAAAATGAATAAGAAATATGCAAACAAAGACAGAAAAGCAATAGCTACCATGTGGCCTGTGGCTGTTGGGTAGTGCGGAAACGGGACCCAACCGCACGAATTCGTGACTCCAACCCGACTTTTAATAGGAAAAAACTTATTCCGACTAAGTTTGCATTAGATTTAGATTCATATTTTTCTAACTTTAAATATAATTGAAATGCATATAAATAAAAGAATAAAAGACTACTAATTATATGAAATTCATTTCTTTATTAGTTTTAAGTGTTGATTAACATAGATAAGATGAGGACGGGAGTGAAGCAGAGAAAATCACAATCCAATGAAGGTGGAGTTGGATTTAAATTGTTTTTACTCCGGCAAAGATAAGAGTGAGAGCAGGATTTGACAACGTGAAGTCGGGATCTAAATAGGGAGAGAAACCCACGGCTATGATGATTGAGCAGATTTTCTATATCCTTACAATACTCATGCATTTATAATTGATTTTTTTTTTATTTAACAGCTTTTTTTATTTTATAAACTAAAATTTAAAATAATATTATATATTAAGCATCTTACTTTATAAAAAAAATGTATATATTATAACAAAGCAGAAAAAAATATTAAATTATATTTTTGCATTTTTAATTTAAATTATAATCTTTTCGACCTCTCAAGGTTAGTTTAAGTCAATTAAGCCTTTATATATTTTAATTGACTAAATTTTATTACCACTATTACTTTCTTATGCATAAAATCTTATTTTTTTTTCCTTTAACTTAAATTCTTGAAAGTAAAATTGATTAAATTATTTACCCTTTATTTACTCATAATTTATCGATAAAATATTACATTTTATTTAGAATGAAAAATTCAAAATATTTTCTCTTCAATCCGAACCGCACATTATTGGAAGTCTTTGGAATTTTAGTCAACTTTTATTAATTTTTTTAATTTTAAAAAAACTTAAAGAGGCTAAATTTATACACAATCCAAATTAAAGGAGCTAAACTATAATAAATTTTTAGATGAAAAAATAAATGAAACTAGATTTATTTAATTTTATAAAATTTTAAAAATTAATTAAATTTATATAAAAACTAAAATTATATACATTAATAATATGTTTGAAAAGAAATATTTAAAGGAAAAGAAAAAAATATTTTAAATTTAAAAAATTATTTATCATTCATAATAACAAATATATTAAATTTATGTTAATATATTAAATTTATATATTTTAATTTTAAAATTTTTAATTTTTAATATAAATTTTCTCTTTTCTCTTATCTCTTTCTCTTCCAAAAATTTCCTTTCCAAACAACTCCTTAATTGGAAATACTTTAAAGGATAAAACTAATAGGTTTGGTAGCAGGTATAGAAGAGTACCTGGTTAAATTTGAGACGACTGTCCAATAATTTACCCTCAGATGTGAAGAGAAAATCTTCAGCCATTCTGTACAGCAAATACTCATACCCTCTTTCATCCGCAACCAAAAATTCCCTCTCACCAAAGTCTGTAAAAGTAGAAATTGGTTCCACCTCTGCATCCAATTTTTTCACCCTATCAGTTTCTAATTTCAGAACAGACATCCGTGAAGCAATTAAGCAAAGCTCATGAATAGTAAGAATTAACAATTCAATAACAAAATCACGGCACAAAATAGAATGATTCTCTTTCTTTTTTTTCCTGGCAGACTAAAAAACAAACAATGAAAATTCATATATTCAAGGCTTAAAGTAAGCTGGGAACTGGGAACGGACCTGCCATTTCAAAATCATGGAGGATGAAATCAATTGCCAGCTCCATTGGTGTCCTAAAACGAAGCAAAACACAATCAGAATTTTTAAAATGATAAAATAATCGCTAAATGCTTCATGTCATTATCACAGTTCACCACATTCATTGACCAAACCGTTTTGTGGCTGAAACGACAAGCAAATACACTTACGAAGGTGATTCGGTTATTTTGGAGCAATCACCTCTGCTTTCAGTTGATTCTTGGTTCCTTAAGTTTTGAATTGCTGAATCCACTGCTTTTTTGTAAGAGTCAGCAGCGATTCCACACGGATATATCTTCCCACTGCAATGAACTCGTTGTAACAAACTCAGATACATTTCAGCAAAACGGTAACAGAAGTTACAGAACAGAGCAATTGGCAGAAATAAGCAAGGAATGGAAAACGACACTAACACTATCGCGTAAGAGAAAATATGACGCAAGATTTGAAAATAACGTAAATAACCGTTTTCGCGAACCTGCGATCGTAGATATTGTATCGCGCATTGCTGTAGTCGGAGAAGCAGGTTCGGAGGCTCGATTCGGTGGCGAGTTCCCAAACAGGATTGGACTCTTTGCCGCCGACCCCGACGATCCAACCGGCTCCGAGCTCGACGGACACGCCGCCGAAAGTTTCCTTGTGGATCCTGCCGCCGATGCGGTCTGAAGCCTCGAGGATGACGAAGTCCTCTATGCCGCTATCGGCCAGCACCTTCGCCGCCGAGATACCTTCCACACGCGAAAAAGCATAGTTAGTGACATGGAAAGAAAGATGAAGATGTAAGCAGATTTGTTGCGGCGGCGATACTCACCGGAGACACCGGCACCGACGATGATGACGGAGGAGCGAGAGTGAGAATCCATGAAAAGAAAGAGAAAGCGATTGAAGAGTGGAACGACGAAGAACACGAAATGTGTGTTCGCCTAAGAAGCAAAAATAGCTGGCTTTATTATTATTATTTTATCTGACCAAGTATTATTGTTATTGGTTCAATAAAACTTTATATTATAAAATTTAATGAGTTTAAAATCTCACATAGATATAAGTATTAAGGGATTCATTTCATTAATCATTTAAACTAACCCCTTGAGTTGAAATTGTACGTTTTCATTAAAATATTCATATCCTCAAAACTTATAAATATAAAAGAAAGGGAGATTTCAGCCCCAAAAAAGAAAGGGAGATTGACCCGGGCATAAGATAACACGAAACTCGAATTAAAATTCTAATAAAAGCAATGCAATATTATTATCGTCAATTTTCCTCATGATTATTAAATCTAAGGATGACCAAATGTTTAGTTGTACCTTACCACGTGTCATTTGGAAAAGTATTTTATTTTTGTTTCATGAGGGATAAATACAAATAAATAAATAAATAATCTTTAAGATTTGAATGATTTGAAATAATAAAAAAATGCTTTCCATTTGTTTAGATTAATAGAAAAGGTCTAAAAAAATAATTAAGCTATATTAAAAATATTTATAAAATTTAAATTTATTAAAAAAGTATTTTTTTAATTTTTAATAAAAAATTATTTATATTTTTTAAAAGTAAAAAAAATAAAAAGTAAAACAATTCCTGCCTTGTATAATATTAATTTTTAGATAATTAATAATAAAACTAAAAAAATTATTAAAAGTCTTAATATTATAATACTCTTTATATATATATATATATATAATATATATAATATAATATAATATAATATAATATAGATTAAATAAAAAACTTAAATCAAGTGTAAGAGTTTTTATACTTATACTAGTGTGTGAAGATTAGGTTTTATATATAGATTATAATTTATTACTTCACCAATTATTAAATATAAATTAAATAAAAAAATTAGATGAGTGTAAAAATTTTAACCTTACATTAATATGAGAAGATTATATATATATATATATCATAATACTTTATCAAAACTTACCTATTATCAAGAGTTAAAAAATATAAGTACATTTGATGGACTAGCATGAAAAAACAAAACGAAGGCTTTAGCATTAAAGTTGAAGAGTTGAATAAGTTTAGATTTTTTTTAGCTAGTCTTGTTTAACCTAAATTCATATTATTTTATTAAAATAAATACAAATGAGTTGATGTTAATAGTTGGACCAATTAATAAGTTCTAAGCCTAATTACGCAAAATAAAATAAAAAAGTTTCATAAAAAAAATTATTTGTTGAATTAATCAATTAGAATACAAGTTAAAATCTAAAGCTTTAGTTGCTCCAAAGATGAATTTCTCTCCACGTATTTGATATGAGAGATTGAAAATTATTTTCCCCTACAATTAGTTACACTTTTCTTTTTTTCACTTTTATTCTCTAATTGAATCATAACCTCCTTTGATTGTCTTTGCTTTTTTTTCTATTACATCTATCTTATATACATTTTCAATAAGGGATTTTTTTAATTTTTAATTTGTTATTGTGTTTTAGTACATTTTTCATTCTATGTCTACACCTAAATTTAAAATCCTAATTTTAAATAATTTTCAATACTTCGACTTTAGTAATCAATGTGTACGTCTAAAGACTTTTCTAACATCTATCTGATGCAAAGTTACTCCTCCTCACTTGTATATTGTTGTATTGATGATTTTTTTATTTATTTTGTTATTGTTAATCTTGATCTTATCCTATAACCCTATGACTGGTGTTATTGACTTGACGCTTTTTAGTCCTGTTGATAATTTTATATTGTTATGAATATGTATTTGTCTTTTTTATTTTTATTTTTTATTAAAAATTATATATGATAAGAAATTATTAATGATGTACCTTTTTTAATAATTTAGAAAAATTTATAAAATAAATTAAAGAATGAAAATAAAGAATTAATTTTATTACTTTTTTTTTATCTTTAAGACATATTAAGACAACAATTTTAAAAAAATATTAAAGCACGCTACTTGTATAAACTTATTTATAAAATATTATAAATTTTTTATTAATTTATTTTATTCTTATTGTAAATAAGTTTCTTTTCAAATATTAATATTAAAAAATAAGTTATTAAAATATTTTAAAAAAATACATCGCTAGCATTTTCTAATAATAATATTATCTGCAGTTATTTTGTAATATATTTTAATTTAATTTAAATATACTGATAATATAAATAAATTATTATTATTTTCTAATTATGAATTATTATACCAATAAAAATATTTAGTTTTATAGTAATTATTATTAAAATTATATACAAAATAAATATTAATTAATTAATAATATAAAAATTTATTAATAACATATTAAAATTAAATTCGTCAATTTTATCTTATTTTATCATATTCATTGAAGATAGCAAGTGCTTGTTATTCATCGGATATACATTAAAAAAAAACCAATGTAAATGATAAATACTCGTTTAACAATTTTGAATTTTGATATAGATAAATAAAATTTTATGAATATTATAAAATTTAATATTAATAATTATGAGGGTAACATAAAATAATTTAATTATTAAATTAATTAAAATTTTATAAAAAATTATGAAGAGATATAAGTATTTAAATTTAACATCTATTATTATTATTATTATTATTTTGAAAGGGTTTTAAAGATGGAAGTACACTTATTATTTATTTCTGTCATCTTTGCAGCTCCTTTCTTGAGTTGTCGATTACTAGTTTTGATTTTTCTGGACACATAAATATAAAATAAGTACAGATAATTTTAGAAAACATTAAGCATTAAAATGGGTATAATAGTATTTTACACCTTGTCATTATGCTTTAAATGTTACTAACTTAAATAAAAAAAATGCAAAAAAAAATTAATCTGGACGTAAAATATATACTTCTACTCTTATAAATTGTAATGGAGAAACTTATAAAATTTATTTTCACTAATATTAGTTGTGTGAATAAAACAAAATATACTTACAATCTTATAGAAGGGCAATGTACAAATTTATAACTAAAGCATGAGAACTGAACAATTTCTTTCATTTATTTGTGGTAAAATTAGTTGTGTAAATAATATAAATAAAGGTTTGACATGAAAATTAACTTTTTCGCCTGGACATTGCATAACTTATAAAATTGATGATATATAAGAAACAGATAGAATTGATAAATAATATCTTATAAAATTGATTATATATTTTCGAAATGTGACGAACATTCGGAAATCATTTGGATTTTTCTTAGCAATAGACGACAAACATCCTCAACAGAGGGACATGTCTTATCAAGGTCTGTTCAGCAATTATTACTGATGGTTTCAAAGATTGCAATCTTTGTTTAGGAGAAAGATTGCAATCTTAACATAGTTTATAAATTAAATTAACAATAGTTGCTGGCTAATTAAAAGAGTAACTGTCACGGCATTACATAATGATAATTTTTTGTTCACTTCAATTTTAATAATAGCTTTTATAATTCAAGACAGATAGAAAAAATATAAAATAAAATATGTAAAAAATTAAAAAAAATTAGTAATAAACTTATTCACCAACAGCAACTTAAAAAAATTAATAAAATTGATTCGAATGAGAACTAGCTCAATATTATTTAAATAAAATTTTAAATTTAAATTTTTATTATAATTTTTTTTAGATTAAAATTTGTTAAAATTTGATGAAGAATATGTTGCTAGCAACAGGTATATCATTAGAAAAAATTTATATTTTAATTTATTAATATGAGATATATAGTTAGATAATTAGAGATTTTAATAGAAGAAGATAATTCTAATGAGAAATTTTTTTAAAAAAATTAAAATGGATGAGATGGATATATATACGACAAATGAACGTTTGAAGGAAGTGACATCAATAAAAGTCATTTCCTCTCAAAGAATAATTAAAATTAACATAAAAATTCCTGGAAAAGTGTATCGACAATGATCAACAACAGAAAAAAAGTGAAAAATAAGAATAGTGATTTTGTGGCAAAGGATTCTTGTCTTAACGGGACGATTTCAACGACCAAAATGTGTAAATAAAAACTATTTTGTTTAAATTAAAAGAGTTACTATCAAAATTTATTAAAGAAAATTTTAAAATTTTTTTAAGAAATTATTTTTAAAATTTAAAAATAAATTTGAGAATTTACATGTAAAAAAAGTATCAGTATTATATGATATCTGTTTAAATAACGATTATTTTTAATTAATTGTATAAATTTATTATATTTTTAAAAATATTTATGTAACTAATAATTATTATTATTTTTATTTTAAAAGAAGATAAATTATTTATTAAAATATTAATTGATATCTTAAAAAAAATTATTTTAAAAATTATTTTGACTTGACGAGTTCGATTTTTGTTTTTATATATTCCAGTATAATGTGAAACTTAAAGTCACATAATTTTATCTAAAATATTATGAAATTAGTTGATTAAGTTAAATTTAGTAAAAGAAAGTTCATCTTAAGATTAAAAATATTTTTATAAAATTGCAACGTTTAAGATACATTATAACGCAGTTATACACATATCCTGTAATATAAAAGGCAAAAAAAGATCACAGTTTCATTGTAAATTGTTAAAATAATTTGTAAATAAATAAATAAAAAGGTTTGATTTTGAAAATTCATATTAAAAGATAATTTAAGATAATATAAGTTATACATAAATATGTTATGATTTATTATATAATTGAAGGTAATATAAATTACATATAGATATTATAAAAATTGTATAATAAAATGAAAAAATAAAATTAAGTAAAAAAAAGTTTGTTTATTTAATTTATTAAAATTAAAAATATAACATATGAAATTAATTCCATTTAGTGAAAAGAATAAATATATCTAAATTAATTAAAGAATATAATTACTTAATAAAAGAATTAAAATTTCATTTAATAAATTTATATTAAATAAGATTTAATGTAACTTTAGTATATAATAATTTTAACAATTTAGAGCATATAAAGGTAAAAATGCTACATAATAATATTATAAATTATTGTATTAATATGATTAAAATATTCAAGATGATAATATAGCTAT